CATGTTGAAACCCAGTGCTTTTTTTTTTTTCTCCAGAAACTGTTCTTCACTCTTGGTATCAGTATCTAGTACCTTTCAAAACGGAATCTCTTTGATAAAAGAGATCAATCAGATTTGGCAGTGTTCCTGTTATAATCTAAATGGTGACTATATGATGGCCACGGTGCATTCTTTCAACATTTTTGTATAAAAAATTTTGTATGAAATGTTGATAAAAATGTAAAATAGAAAATATTCCTGATCTCTGTGTTACTAATAGGGTAGTCACAGGCTATCTCTATTCTTTTAACACGAAAAGTATCTCTCCAGAAAAATTTCTCATTTTATACTGCTTTATATTGGCCCACTGAGGCTTTTTATCTTTATGTCAAATTAGTTTAATGTGTTTTGGTGTTTTTAAAAGGAAACTTTTCTATTTAAACCAAATTACTTATGAATAAAGTCAATGTTTACTAAAAGCCTACTTAATACCTGACTTTTAATAAAACTTTATCTTTCCCTTTACTGCTTATTTTTCTCATGATTACCCAGAAGTCTTAATAAACATGTAATTTGCCTAATTCCACTTATATTGAGAAGGAGTTAGAGATATCAAGACTTTCCTATGTTTTTAGGTTTTCTTTAAAAAATATGTCTTGTGTGAAAACCAAATGAACATTGACTGGTTTAGTTTTCATTCAAAATTAGTAAAATGTTAAGCCAGTTTTACAGATGTCACTTTTCCTGTAGCTCTATAATCTGCGCATCTACATGTGTATGTGTACATATATACTTTTCTTTTACAGTATTTGAAAGCTGTGGTAACTCCAGAATGTCTACTGATACTAGATTATCGTAATTTAAACTTAGAGCAGTGGCTCTTCCGGGAACTTCCATCACAGTTGGCTGGAGGTGGTCAGCTTGTCACATACCCTTTACCATTTGAGTTCAGAGCTATAGAAGCACTCCTGCAGTATTGGGTAAGCTTGTTTTTATTCAAATGCCGTTGAGTGGGAGGACAGGTTGGGATTGTTTCAGTGGTACTTTCCCTGCAGGCATCCTCCTAAACAGAATCATTTCTATAGGTCCTAAATGGAGCCAGAATTTAATTCTTAAGCTTTATTACTCAATAAAGTAGCCCACAGACTCTAAAGTATATAGAATATAGCATTTAATGAAGCCCATTTCAAGATTTTAACCATATTGTGGAATGGTAATGCAAAAAGATATGCATCAAACTTTTAAGTGCATTCAGTTTTATTCTCTAAACTGTACATTATGATACATATAACTATGTACATATTATATCATTCGTCAAACCATCCTTTGACTTACTTCTATAATCCTTTGAAGCAGCTAAGTGATGTCTGTTTGAGACCTAAACTGACTTAAGAACTACACACATTGCTGTAAGCACCCATTATTAAACTGATAGTCATTGGATGTGTGGGGTCATATCATGTCCTGAACACGAGTAGTTTGCTGCTTTCCTGGCCTCTTTCCGTCTCATTATCACAACTAACCCCCCTACCGTTAGTCAGGATGGTGGTGCATGCAAGAGTTGGTGCAAAGAGCATTAACCAGAATGAGGAGAGGAGAGTGGAGAGGACATGATGTGAGTGGGATGGGATGACTTGGTGTCCTCCTCTTTTGCCTCCTTTACTTTACTGAGAGAAAAGATGGCCACACTCCATGCTAGGGTTAACACATGCCCGCCATCTTGAACTACCAGTGGTACATGCATGGCTGTCCCATCAGATGGCTTTTACCACTGGTGGTACAAACGTATCTAGTCACTTTTTGGAGTCTACTAATTAATAAAAAGCCACCCATTGGGACAGTTATATGCACCACTAGTGGTTCGAGCTGCCTAGCAGCATGACATACAAATTATGACCCTGTCTTGACCATATTAAAAAGGTAACAGGTGAAAACTGGTCATTGGCAAGCTGCCCAGGGTAGGTGGCTCTTAGGACAAACAATGTCCCATCTCCTAGAGATCAGCCAAGGGGAGAATAGAGAGGGAGCTCGAGGTGTCTGCTGGGATACACATGCTTGCCATTAAGTGGAGTCCTAGAAGATTTCTTCAGAAAAAACACTACACAATAAACAAGGCCAGCCCCCCCCCAGGAGTAAGTCTTCAAATAAAGCAGACCTCCAGGTCCACTAGAGAACTGAGAGCTACCAGGAGGACGACCTGTACTGTGACCCTGGGCAGCCTGCCAACCACTGCTGGAGGCAGGCTTGCTGGGCAGAGGATGTAGTAAGTATCTCCTTTGGCCACTAAAACATTTGATCTGCCTCAGTTTGTCCAGCCCTCCTTCCACCCAAGGTCTCCTGAACCTGGAAGCAGCTCCTCAGTGTGGAAATAAACAGGATGCCTGCAGTCCAATTCCCAAATCAGAAAATCTTAGCTTCAATGGTAATCGTGCTTCTGAGATAAACAGTCTATTCTGGAATGAATACAGTGTTCACAGACTTGATTCTTCCCAGAATTCTGGTCACAAACTGAGTTGTATGAAAAATCAAATTCAATGATTAAGTTCAGTAGACCTTGTGGGGAAATTTTAATTCTGTTCTCATCCAGTTCATTTTGTGACCAGAATCGTGGAAAGAATTGAGTTTCTGAACCTAGGCACCACTTTACAGTTAATTTTACTGCTTAATTCAGTATTATGCTATTTACTGGATGGTTTTAAAATATTTGTCTTCAGTCAATGCATTCCTGCTGAATTTCAGCAAAAAGTATACTTTTGCTTTAGACTGATTTATTGGGTTTTTTTTTTTAGCCCAAATTAAATTTTGTTTTTCAAAATATTTTTAATAGGAATTTTAAGATGTATTTTGTTTACAAAATACATGTAAACAGATCTAAAAGTTGTGTTTTAACCATTGAAAGGGGAGTGATTTAATAAATTAGTCTTCCATTCCTTTCATAATAATTGTCTAATGAGAGAAGACATTGATAGTTAATTCCCCTCAACCAAATTTGAGCATGGTAACGACCTTACATAATGCTTTTAACCCAGGAAACATGTGCACTTGCAAGGCAGGTGGCAGTACCACTCAGCAAATCCCCAGCCCCAGGAAATGTAGTTTTGAGTTATCTATAAAAGACATGCTAGCACTTGATCGTGATTTCACATGGTAACAGCATTTCTAGCTATTAGAAATTTCTGTATGTAAGCAGAGGATTCACTGACCCTTAAGTATTCTAAAAAGGTTGTTTTAATTCTTATGAAAGGTCATGTTGTTATCTAGATCAACACCCTTCAGGGGAAACTTAGCGTTTTGCAGCCACTGATCCTTGAGACACTGGAAGCTTTAGTGGATCCCAAACATTCTTCTATAGACAGAAGCAAACTGCACATCTTACTACAGAACGGCAAAAGGTAAATACGGGTGGTTGACAAGTTGGGAGTTAGAGATAGCCATCTTAAACTTCTTAGTAATCTTAACTGCGAAATGTTTAGCATCAGTTCCAAATAAAATTAGTGATTCCTATTTGCTGTAAAAGAAAACCAACTACTCTTAATAATGAGTTTTTTTTTTAACTTTATAATTTACTTTTCCTGTCTTCATTGCCATATTTGGTTTTAAATATTATGAAAATTATGTTTCACAACTTTTTAAAAGAAGGTAATATAGATAGGAAAAGCACTTGTGTAGCATGCATGAGGAGCTGGTTTGATCCCTAGCAGCACAAAGAATTAACATTTAAAACTTCTGTATCAGTAGGTTTGTTTGGTCCAAAAATATTGAGGTTTTTTTCAGTGAAATTATGTTAGCAGTAGAGTGCTTGCCTCTCATGCCCAAGGCCCTGGGTCCCAACCCAAGCACAGTGAATGTTCTGTCCTTACTTCCAAAGCAAAAAAAAAAAATCTTAAATTCAGTGTTTATATATTTCTGAGATATTAAATTTATACTTCTACAACTGATTAATTTTACCAGTTTACTGTTGATTGGGGGATTGAGGTTATTTTGGGGGCTTGTTTTGTTTTTTTGAGAAAGGGTCTCACTATATAGTTCAGACTGGCCTTGAACTGTGTAGCCCAGGCTGGCCTTGAACTCATGGCAATCCTGTCTCAGCCTCCTGAGTGCTGGGATTACAGGAGTGTCCCACCACACCCGGTGGGGGTTGAGTCTTAAGTTCCATAATGACAACTAGAATGTTTTACAAGCCAGCCTTTATTATAAGCAATAAGTAGGCCTACTTGAGGAGATGCCCTAAAAAGGCACTATTCTTAAAGCACACTGTATTAAAGGATTATGCTATTGATCATCTTGGTATAACTTTTTACAGTCTGTCAGAGTTAGAAACAGATATTAAAATTTTTAAAGAATCAATTTTGGAGATCTTGGACGAAGAGGAGTTGATAGAAGAGCTCTGCCTGACAAAGTGGACTGACATCCACATCTTGTAAGTATATTGCTGCTGTTATTTATTCCCTCAGGCTGAATCTTCCATCTTTTCTTCCTCAGAATTTTTTTTTAAGAAAACATGGTATGTTGGGGAGCATAGAACATGGGCATTTTTCTTTCCCGGCTATTTCACATTTCCCCTGTGCAATGTTGCATCTGGCTAGGTTTAATGATGATATACTGAGTGCACAGAGACCTTCCCTTCAGGGGACTGACCACCGCACTGACATGCACACCTGCTGAAACAACTTGCCTAGCTGAGAGAGGGGGAGAAATTCGAATCAAGGAGGCAAAAGACAGGCTAAAGGGAAAGGAGTAACACCTGATACAAATTCCGTAGGTTTGGTCTAATAAAAAAAAACTTCATATTGTCAACTTTTTGTCTCTTAGAAATTTTTAAATTCTTTGTTATTCTTGTGCATACTCAAATGTTTACACTTTAAATACAATAATTTGGTTTTGTTTTTTTTGTGGAGTGGAATCACAAATTCATACAGACATCTTTGTAATGAGTGTTTCAGTTCTGTACAGATTATGTAAGCATTCTAGGAAGTTGGTTATTTATAGTCTAATAAGGAGATACTAAGATAAAAAGCAGTAGGATTAGGGATGTGGCTCAGTGGCAGAGCACTCGCCTAGCATACAGGAAGCCCTGGGTTCCCACTACAGAAACAAGACAAAAAAGGTCTATGTGATGTTTGGTCTTTAGCATTTGGGTACAACAGCAGAAACTTGCATACACTCTTACTTGCTTTGCTTAGGCTGACATTGCTCTAATATGCTTTATGATATATCTTTCACACAGTATTTCATTCTCCCTCATCCTCATTAGTCCTGTCAATTGACCAAAATACATGTTAATTTTATTCAAAATCTACATCATATATTCATCTTGAAGTGGAAATGCTCTTTATGCTCATTTTTTAGTTTGGGCTTTGCTTTTGCTGGTAATGGTTTTGGATTTTGGCTCCCATTTACGTGAATCTCTAGATTGGACCATGGGATGCAGTGAAGCTAACTAGTCTTTGTAAGGCTGGAATCTTTGTTGTCGAATTACCTGTGTAGTGGTTAGGATCAATTCACACAGCCTGACACAGATTGACCTCAGTTACAGCAGTAGAAAAGACACTGGTGGCTGAATGTTCTGTACTAATTCAGGAAGCTTTGGTAGTAAATACCTGCGATGTGGCTGGTAAAGGGAGGCTAACTCTGTTAACTTGGAATTGTAGTGAAAAGAGCAGTGCTGGGATTGACCACGCAGAGGAGATGGAGCTGCTGCTGGAAAACTACTACCGCTTAGCTGAAGACCTTTCCAACGCGGCTCGGGAGCTCAGGGTGCTAATTGACGACTCACAGAGCATTATTTTTATCAATCTGGATAGGTAAGAATACCTCTCATGAAACAGTAAGGATCTCCTTTATAAAACTATTGGAAGATAATACAGTCTTTAAAGAAATGTCATTTTGGAAGGAGTTACACCATCATGGTCTGTGGCCACTACACGGGGAAGTGGTGTTTGGTTTGCTTGTTGTCTGAAGGTGTAGATTTAATCCACATGGTCTCGATTAGATTATTTACGAATTTGCTTTGTGTGACTAGTGGGCCTTCTGATTTGAGTTCTTCTCCCCTCTAGCCACCGGAATGTGATGATGAGGTTGAATCTACAGTTGACCATGGGAACCTTCTCTCTTTCACTCTTTGGACTAATAGGAGTTGCTTTTGGCATGAATTTGGAATCTTCCCTTGAGGAGGTAAGAGAGTCTTATTTTAACAATTTTAATAATTTAGTGGTTATCACTTCTCGGCCTTTTGGCTAAGATCAAGTGTAATAATTTAGGGGTTATTTTGTAATGTTTTTAAGACCAACTTTTTAAGTTTTTTTAAGGCTAAGCATACTCTCATAGTGAGCTAAGTGTACACTATACCTAAGAATTCAAGTGGTGTCTTAGGCCCCATTACAATACTGTTATGAATATAGCCTACATTACTTTGTTTCCCAAAACATGTAACTACATATGAGGAAGTTTGATAACACACTGGAGGCAGCATTAGAGTTTTTAATTTTTATGTGAATGGCAGTGCACCTGGAAATTTGCATACTACATATGACTCAATCATCACAACTCTGAAAATGGAGATATACCACCTCTACTTTGTGGATGGGAAAACAAGAACAGTTAAGTAACTTGCTCCAGAGCTAGAAAATCAGAGAGGATTTCAACTGAGAGACAGCTTTCCTCTTTGCTCGCCTGCCTTCCCTATCAATAGATCACAGAGCTTCCAGAGTATTTTCAGAGACTGTCTTGCTGTTCAGATTTCTCCGGTGATCTGAATATGTGGTTGGCAGAGCTGCTGCTGGAGTCTGCACATCAGTCCAGAGGTCTCTGGTCTGTTTCTGTGGCTGTTGCCCCAATGTAGTCCACTCTGTCTCCTATCAGGACCGCTGTATTCTTTTAAAAATTAAATATTATAGCACTCTTCAGTGGCTTTTGATTAGCCTTCAGAAAAAATCCCTTGGTGTGGCTTGGTCCGCCACTCTGGGGCTGCAGCCACTCTGGGCAGTTGCTCCAGAGCCTCCCTTCCCAGACATGCTGCCTCTGCACCTTTATTGCCTAGTTAACTCCTGCGTATCTCTTGGGTCTTAATTTGTCGCTTCACGACAAGAAAAGATAATTTCCTTCATAAGTAATCCTTTCTGCACACTCCAGATTTACAGTACTTGTTTACTCTGAAAAAGATCATAAGCTCCCTGAGCAAAGTCAACGCTAGTCTTTTTTTTTTTTTTTTTCTTTTTCTGGTACCGGAAATCAAACTCAGGATCTTGTGCTTACTAGGCAGATTGAGCACCACTGAGCTACATCCTCAGCCTGACACTAGTCACTATTAATGCTTCTTGTGATTAAATATAAAAGGAGAAATACATTTGTTTATTCCACTAACAATACAAAGGCTTCTCAAAAAATAAGGTGTGTATCTAACTAAATTTATTGCAGTAAAAGGCATTATTGTCATGAACCCTCCTCAGAATACTCATCCTTGCTTCAAATAAGCATATCCCATTGTTCTTGCCTCTTTCTAAAGCAGTTCTGGCAGTCTTCTTTTACGAGTGTCTCCAGTAGGTGTGATCAGAAATGCAGTGGCTGATGCTGAGCATGGAAAAAGGCAGACACATAAAAACATGAGTGTGTCTTCACTCACATTATTCACTGAATCTGGTACCGTGCACCTTTGGGCTGTACCCCAAAGTCAGAATGACCATAAAAGTTAAATGTTTGGAATCAGTTCAGGACATCAAGGCAGTTATGCCAGCACAACTAAAGACAACAAAGGAGGATTTGCAGAACTGCTTTGGTAAGTTGCACGAATGATGGCATGTGTTTGAAGCACTGTTCTGACAAAGAATGATGGCATTGTATCTTACTGTAATAATTTTTTTAAAATGCACTGTATTTTTTTATCACACTTCCTATGTTTATTATTGTTTGTTAGTCCCTCCTCTGGTGGAGGTTACCTTATAGAGAGAGGTAATAAATCTAAAGTACATTAAATGCTGAGTGCTACAAAGAAAGACAGCAGGTAAAGGGATAGAAGAGGATCCTAGACAGTGATACAGTTAGCATTTTCGAGAGCATGTCGAGGAAGGTGGGCTAAGGAAGTGACATTTGAGTGGAAACCTGACTGAAGAGAGAAGGTGGGAAAATCTGGGGGCTAGTGTTCTGAGCAGAGGGAGCCACAGGGTCAGAACAGCAGGAATAGCTAAGCTTTCCACAGCAGGAAGGCCCCAGAGGCAGAAAGATGGTGCATGGGGGAGAGTGGTAGGAAGTGAGCCAGAGAGGCGGAGCTGAAGTATGACAGAAATCGGACCTCACCTGATGGCTCTCAGTATGGGCCAAAAACATGGTATGAAGTCTACTTCAGGCCATGTGGGTAAGGTGAATATGGAACAGATTCCTCAAGATACATATGGATGCAAGTACTGCAGAACCCATAATCTGAAGTGATTTACTTTCTAATTCCTTTCTGATCTAGGCTCAATGGTGCATAGCTCTAGACCCAGCTGTTTGGGAGAAGACTGAGGCAGGAGGATCACTTGAGCCCAGGAGTTTGACATCTGCCTGGGCAACACAGTGAAAGTTTGTCTCAAAAATTTTTTCTCCTTTCTGGTAGTTTCAGTGAGTTCTGCAGAGAGCCCAGCTGCAATGAGGGTGGTGGGTGGTGAGCTAGGCTCTGTCAGTAGCTAAGTGAACAAGACTCAGGCCAGGGCCTCGTCAAAATTATAAATTACCCATCTTTAGGTTTCCTGAAGAACAGTGTAAACATTCATTAATCCATGGATGTTAATTCTCTTCTTAATAGTCAACATTAATATTTACAATAGTGAATATAAGATGAGATCTTTCTTACTTTTAATTTTGACTTAAAGTTCTAAAAATAGTCAAAGAATTCCCAAACGTCCACATCTTACCGCATTTGCTGTAGCATTCATCTGTAAAAGCATACTTTCTTTTCTAAACCTATTGAGAATAAGAACAGATGTAATGTTCCTTTACCCCTACGTGTTTTCTAAAATGATGGATAATAACCACAGAGCAATCATTAGTATCAGAAGATTAACCTGAAATAACACTATTTTCTCACCTGTAGAACCTGTTCAGAATTTACCTCTTGTCACAAAGAAAGTCTTAGTTTCTGTGTTGCATTAGTTGTGCCTCCTGACTCCTTCAGTCTGGGACAGCTCTTCAGTCTTTGTCGTCCGTGGTCTTGACACTCACAGACAATACACATCAGTTATTTGGCCCCTAGTCTTTCATTTTGAGATGCTCTAACTGCATGTTGCAGTGAATGTCCTCGAGACGTCTGATGCCGACGTGTCCCATCACTGGCAGTAGTGACTTTGGTCCATTATTGACTTTGGTTATTGCCATCTGATGGGGTATTGGGTGCTAACTTTCTGTTCTTAAAGTTATTCTTTTTCTCTGAAATTAAGTTTCCTGTAGGAAGATACTTTGATACTATATAAAAATTCTGTATTCATCAGATTCTCACCTTCCACTTGTGCCATCCACTAAGTGATCCAAAGGTAATTAATGGCACCAGATACTGCATTACCATGAGGGTTCTATCACTCTTGCATTTATATACTACAAAGGAGAACATTCCTTTCTCCCACTTGTGTATATCAATATGGGTTCAGAGTCCGGTTTTGAGGAGTTACAATCTTACTGTCATTTTGATGTTCAAGCCTTTCATGCTGGTTCTGAGTGCTTCCTATTTTTAGTGCTTGTGTAGCCTCATGCACATCCAGCTGTTCTAAGCAAGAAAACTATTTCTAAGTGACAGGCTATGCATTGAGGAGAGCAGAGGGCACTAGGAGTGAAGACTTAGACCAGTTCAGGCAGCAGGTGCCTCAGTACCTCATGACACACCTGGAGAGAGAGACAAGTGGATCTCCAGCTCCTGGAAGTTTGTCCAGCTCCTTGACCTTCTGGAGGCCTCACCCTGTGCTCTGGGTGTAATGGCACATGGAACTGTGAGCTTGGTTTCCCTCTGAATTAGCTTGCCTCTCCGTTTTTTCATATTTTAGCATTCCCACACTTTGATTTATAGGGAAAAACAGAACCATCCAAAGTGAAGAACTGTAGTGAGCTATATAGGTTACAGAATTTTAGGGCCTTTATTTTAGATTATTGGAAATGTTTTCACAATCCAAAAGCAATTCATTCGGGTTAATACTTATCTTCCTCGTTTCTTACATCTAATGTTAAAAGGAAGCAGATTTCTGCTCAATAAAGGCATAGGTTCCCATCAGGAATAGCTGCTGAATTGACTAACAGGCCATCTTGAAGCTGTCAGTCATTGGAGCTAATCACAGCCTGGTTGAAAACCAACTATTGGCATAGCTGTAAATGGGATTCCTTCCTGTGAGAGATTGTGCATTAACACATTAACTGAAAACACTGCACTGCAAGATTAACTGAATTCTGGAAATAACAGGAAAAATAACTTGCTGTGATCAGAGGTTCCCAAACTTTGATTCATGATGTCTTTAGTGTTTTAGTAATTTCTTAACAATGTCTGTATAGACCACAAGTTTATTTCCTTTGAAAGTTTAAAATATTCTGAGGTCCTGTGATGCCAGAACAGTTCAGCTGCTTTGAGGACTGTGACTCTAAGCTGAAAATTCGAATTAAGTTGTGTATCCTTATGATTATTTAAATTTGTATATATGTAAATGAGAAACAGTAAAAGCAATTCAGGGCTTATAGATGATTAAAAAATATTGAAATCCAGAAATAATTCTATATTCTGGCTTACTCTGTGATTCTTAGCCTCTGGGTATTACAGAGGTACTTGTTCTTAGTTTGCTTTGAATAACAAAGGCTTCCTTGGAACTCTGGGACAGTGATAGTTGAAGGCACTTTGAGGAACCTAGCCTTGTGTGATTGAAATAAACTGCTCTCTTTCAGGACCATAGAGTGTTCTGGCTGATCACAGGGATCATGTTCATGGGAAGTGGCCTCATCTGGAGGCGTTTGCTTTCATTCCTCGGAAGACAACTAGAATCTCCTTTGCCTCCTAGGGTAAGATGGGTATGGTTTACAGCACTGTCTTGGAGTTAGAATCGGGCTCTAAGCAGCCTGGGCTTAAATTGTCACGGGCTTTGTGACCCTGCATAAGTTACTAAATTTCTCTAAGTCTCCCTCAGTTTCCTTGTCCTTTAACCCTGTTCTCTGGCTTCATAGGATTATTGGGAGAATTTGATGAGATATGTTCAACACAGTGCCTGGCATAACAGATTTTTTTGTAGAGCACTCTGGCAGGCATGGTGTATTTAGACATGTATTAGTACCTCCAGTGCAAGGTACTGTCATAACCAAACTGAGATGTAGAAAACGTTTATAGTGTTCTCATTAAGAAAAGTATAAAACTACAGCCAGGGATTTAGCTCAGTGGCACCATGCCTGTCTTGTAAGTGCAAGGTCCTGAATTTGATCCCCTAGTACCCCCCCCAAAAAAAGTAAAGCTTTCCTCCTGTTTTTCATTTTTGTATTTAAAGATGACTCCATGGAAATAAGTACTTAAGATGTTGACACAGGCTTACAGTCCTTATTTTACTAGTGGTTTGGTTTTTGTTTGATTTTTAAGAAAGACCCAGACTGAAGTTTACCCTGCTTTATTTAGGTGTCCTCTTTACCTAAAAAGACCCTTCTGGCAGGCAGAGGGATGGAAGTGAAAAACAGCCTCAGGCCAGATGGACTTGGATCAAGCAGAAATATACTAACAACCCGTTAGTAACAACCTGGTGGACACGAAATATTTTTTTATACTTCTGGTACTGTTACAATTACTTTTATAGTCCTTCACTTGAAAAAAAATCAATATTTAAATTATGTCTGATAAAGTTGTAGTCACAATTCTAGAACCTGATTGTATTTCCAGAATTCTGAGTAAACAGCTAAGTGCTTGATTTGTGAAAGGCCAAAAATCCTATTTCCTACAGACTTTAAATACGGTTTTTATAGATAGAATGTGGGGTGTAGAGAATAATACAAGAAGAGACTTATATAGACTAATTTATACATGAAGAAATTCTGAGCAAAGCCTCAAATTTGATTCAAACCCATGGTTTCTGTGGTCAGATATGGCAGTTCTTAGTACAGGGAATGGTGTTCAAGTGAATCTCCACTCAGTTGCCTGAAGTGCTAGCATAATACTTGCTACCTTTAAAATAAACTCTGGAAAGTTGTGCCTTAAAAACAATCCTTGTCGGGTGTGGTGGAGCACTCCTGTAATTCCAGCACTCAGGAGGCTGAGGCAGAGGGATCACTGTGAGTTCAAGACCAGCCTGGGCTACATAGTGAGACCCTATCTCCAAAAACCAAAAAAATTTTTTAAATAAATAAATAATCAAACAATCCTTGAGGGTAGGGTATTTGGCTCAGTGGTTTCGCTGCCTGCCTCTCAAACGAAAGGGCCCAAGTTCGATCACCAGTACCAAAAAAAAAAAAAAAAAAAAATGCTTAAACTGGGTGTGATGCGCACACCTGTAATCCCAGCATTTGGGAGGCTGATGCAGGAGGATCACCACAAGTTCAAGGGCAGCCTGGGCGACACAGTGAGTTTAGGGCCAGCCTGAACTACAAAGGGAGACCCTGTCTCAAAAAAAACAATCCTTGGGCCCGGCATGGTGGCACATGCTTGTGATCCCAGCACTTGGGAAGCCAAGGCAGGATTGCTGCGAGTTTGAGGCCACCTTGGGCTGCATAGTGAGTTCAAAGTCTGAACTACATAACAAGACCATGTCTCAAAAAAAAAAAAAAAATCCTTGGCATAACCTTATTTTCTTGGATTTGCCCCCTTTTATATATAACATAAATAAAAAGAGGATAATCAGCATTTCACTTTAACCCCTAAAACTTTTTCTTTGCTTGGCTATAAATAGAGCTGTTGACCAGAAGTATTTCCTTTCTGTTATTGTTTCATAGCTAATTTATTGATTTTCTGGGTTCTAAAGATTTTTAAACTGTCTTTCCCAAAAGGAAAATGTATGTAGACCAACTAATCCATATGTGTCTACTTCAAAAGTTAGCCAGTTGACTTCCTAAAACAAGAGAGCAGTAAATGTTAGCATTCTGAAACCTTTTGTTTTCACAGTAAGTTTTTTCTTTAAAACAAGTGGCTAATATTTATAAGTCTGAAAGCTGTATCTTAACAACTTACCTTCCATGGTATATTTTCTGGAGGTTCAGTGCCATTGCATACTAGAACATTACAGTTAAACCTGCCTCCAAAAGTAGCATGCACTGGACAGTAGAATGACCAAAGCAGCCCTTCACCTACAGATGCATTTGTAGTAAGAGAATAAATAGCCCTGCCCTGACGATGCTGATTCCTAATGTGATGAGGAAATTTGGGGGTGGTCCATTTACCAGGTGGCTTGTTGAGTGGATAAAAATGCTGCTCCAGGAGCTGATTTGAAACAGGATAAAGTTACAGTTAAGGTTTCCTCCATTCTGTGTGTGGTTGTGAGAAGCCTTTGGCGGGAGGCTGCAGGCTGACCAGAGGGGCATGAAACAGGCAGCACTGGCCTTAACCCACTTGGTACACCCTGGGTGCCAGGCCAGGCCTCACGGTATGGACACTGCAGTGGGAAGGAACATGGACTACCTCCCGGGTTACAAAGCCTTCTGCTTGTCAGGATTGCCTTTGAGAATACATGGAATTCATTTCACAGGCACCCTTCTTCAGCATGCCTCACAACACTGAGCTGCTTGCTATTCTTGGCCTTACCACTGTAAGATAGTAAGTGCTGTGCTCTATGAAGATTGGAACCCCAGAGTGCAAAGTTTAAGAGCAGGCATAGGGTTGAGTTTTGGTCATTTTTCTTCCTTTATGTGTTTGAATAATTTTAATTGGTCATGTCCCATTAGTAAAAGGAATGTAGCTACCTCAAAAATTTGATAAATGGAAGTTAAGAGTGGTTTTTGATTATTTGTTTTGTTTTGTTTGTGGTACCGGGGGAAAATTGTGAAGGTGGTTAGATCAGGAATGATTTCAAAATATCAGCTAGCTCTGCTTCCTGATTGCAGGGTACTTCTTACAATTCTTATGGATAATAAAACAGCCAATGCCAAACAATGCAGCTCATTGGTTGTACATTTTGAATAGAAGACTTCACTATTTAAAAGAAAAGGGGTAACTTGCAAGTGCAAGGTCCTGAGTTCGATCCCTGGTATCCAAAAAAAAGTGGTAAAATACCGAACAGTGAAAAATAAGCAAGCACTTCAGTGTAAACCGTATCACTCTTGACAGAGTTGCCTCTAGGGGTTTCCGACTCAGTGTGGGCAGAACTGATGTCATTTTGGGGTGCTGTTACTTCATGCTTCGATCTTGATAAACACAAACCCATTAAAGCGTTTCACATTAAACTTACTTGTGACCCATTATCCCAAGAACTATACAGAGTTTTTTGTTTTGGATGCACTATTAAAGTCACAGTTTTGCCAGGCATAGTGGGTCACACAGCACTCGAGAGGCAAAAGCAGGAGGATTGCTGCAAGTTCAAGGCCAACATGGCTACCAAGTGAGTTTAAGGTCGGCCTGAACTACATAGTGAGACCCTGTCTCAAAAAAAGTCAGTTTGAACTTAGAATTTCCTTTCATTCCTTTAGCAGTAGCTACAGTGGTAATTTAAAGGAGGATGCATGGCCTAGGGCTCCCAGACCCGAGTTTTGCTCCCAGGCTCACCTTAAATCATTCTGACTTTGGAGTCTGTGCTGCAAAGGCGTAAAACAAGTCCAGTCCTGGAGCCTTGAAGAAAGTTGTCAGATGTACAGATAGAAAATGGAAACGTTGGGCCGGGGATTTAGCTCAGTGGTTCTGCTGCCTGCCTTGCAAGTGCAAGGACCTGAGTTTGATCCCCAGTACCAAAAAAAGAAAAAAAAAGAAAATGGAAATGTTTATTAGTTCATGATACCTTAAAATGAAGGTAACTGTTGTACATGTTCAGATATATGTGAATGTGAAAACCCTATAGGTCTTTCCATTTTTGTTATTAAGCATTTCAGAGTCAGTGGTTACAACTACAGTTAATATTTAGTAGAATGAAAATTTTATCTACCTATTGAGATAATACAGTAGGAGAAGTAGACTGTCTTTTCTGTATATATTTATTATATAGACTGACCAACAGGAGTGTGATTTTTTTCACAGAAGTTAGTATGGCTAAATATACTATAAACTTAGAAATGTGCTCCCATTATTACAGATTTTTAACCTTTCCTTTATGTTCACCCTCTGGTATGTTCAGGCATTGAGAGAAATGCAAATTCTGAGGTCACTAATGGTCAAATTTAACACTTGTGGTTCAGAGCTGCCCAGCAGCAAGACACAAATCACAGCCCCGTCATGAACATGTTAAACACAGCCTTTATCATTTAGTGAAGCATAAAAACACTGACACTTACAGAGCAATGGCAACATGAAAGTATGCGTCCTCCTTCCAGGCAGATACAATACTGAGAGAACTGTATCTTCATCCTGTTCTACTCTCAGATGGCTCAGCTCCTAAGTGGATAAGCTAAGTAATTTCTGGGTCCCCCCCCACCAGATCTTTTAAATAAAAACAGTTCTTCACATTTGTTGAGCTGTCAGTACTTTGTGCCCAAGCTGGACGCTATTTGCCCCCATCTGGAAATGAGCAACACAGCTGGGACTTCCTGCACCAACCCACTGTGCACACATCTCAGGCACAGTAGCTTTTCCTTGCTCTGATTGAACTTTTCAGCTAGATTTTTATTCCTGGCTCATGCTTTCTCCAGAGAAGCTGAGAAGGGCTCCTGTCCTTGACTCTCTTGCCTATATTTCATCAGTGTCAGAGTAAGGAGCTTCTCTCGGTACAAAACAAGCTGTTTACTGTTAACTAGCTGTCACGCATGTGGCCTCTAGTGAGGCTGAAATGCTGTGTGCATTCCTCTCCCTTAAATGCTCCATTCTGAAGGACTGGCTCATGGAACCCTTACTGAAAACAGCCCAGAGCAAGTGAGGCCAAGGCCCACATCCCTCCTCTGTCCTTCACTTCCTTGGTCCCTTGCAGTAGCCCCTGGCTTAGGCCAGATCTCTCCTGCTGTAGTTCTGCTGGTACGATGAATGGCCACCTAGCACAAGGAGAGCCCTTCACGGGGTGACCGAACTCTGGCAGAGCCAAGCGGTCCACCACCTGTTAGATCAGCCATCCCTGCAGAAGTTTCTGAGGGCACAGAGTTAGCCAAGCTTTAGTTTTACATGTGTCACTTACTATATAAAACTTAGAAAATAGAATAACTCTTGTTAGAAAGGGCCAGATCCCAGTAAGTGCGAAGGACTACCCCACACTTATCTCCTCCCTCGGGTTTGTTTCTGCTTACAGTGCTTATAGTTTGATTGGAATGGGCCCCGGGGTTGGTCTGCTTCTCACTGTGACAAAACACTAGAGTGGACAGCTTAAAATGAGGAAATACTACTGAGGCTCTCAGTCTGAGCATGTCCACAGTCAGGTGGCCTGTAGCTTGGGCCTGTGCCAAGGCATACCTCATACAGAAGCATGTGACAATGAAGCATTGGGGGCCTGGAGTCCCAAGACACCTTTCAGGGCTCTCACGGTAACCTGCTTCCTCCATCCAGGCCCTGCCCCTACCACCACCACCACCTCCCAAAGGGCCAACAGCGGGAGCTGAGCCTGCAACATGAACTTTAACGTTTACGATCCAAATTCTAGCAGCAAGGAAAGAGGTTGTTTAGGAGGAACTGTGGACATCCTAGGAGATGACCAGAGAGCGAGAGCACATCTAGGCATCGGAGAGACCAGTGTTCAGGCTGTATGACATACAGGTCAGAGCACAGGCAGTAGGCTAGGAAAGAAGAAAGGCTGAGATGTACAGGAAGCAAGGAAGGACACTTGAAAAGACAAAGAACCAGAGTGTCTGCTCTTTCACAAACTTCTGGTGGAGTCGCCATTTATTTCCATAGGGTTGCGGTTTTACTTCAGGAGCTCCACCACGCCTTTGCTGGACGTGCCAGCTTGTCCTCCAGATTGCTCACCCTGGAGACGACTTGGCAGGAGACGGAAGTGGAGCGAGCTCTAGCTGAGATTATAGATATGCAGTGCCCCAGACAGCCGAGCTCCCAAAGAACTCCTTCCAGCAGCAATGACAATTTGGTTCTGTGGGAGACACAATGCAGAGTTCACGAGTGGATTACCACACCTGCCAAGTTCCTACTGCAGTCTAGGCAGCGCGCTATGCTCTAGAACTCCAGCACCACACGCTGGCCCGATCCCATGGCACAAGTGTAAATGCCCCTCTCCCTGATTAGCTATTACTTTGCGGATCTACAGGAACCACAGCTGAAGAAGTTCACCCAGGTCCCCTCTGGCACATAAAGAAGGAAGGGGAACCACATCAATACATTCTTATCCTGGGGTCTTCGCTGTGGGTATCACACAGGCGACATAGGTGGGATACTGAAGACTTCCCTTTGTGTGTTCTCATGTCATCCTGGCTGCTGAAACATTTTAGCACAAATCTTTTAAAGCTGCCTTCAATACCTGCTACAGGTTGTTAAACACTTGATCTTTGCAAAATCCTCACCCTGCCAAGCGTGCTTCATGAGGTATGGGTGATCAAACAGTATGACACTTTCGGTTAGAGAAAGGTGTGACAGTTTCTTACTGACTTAAATTTTGAACACTACTGATAGAATCCAGAAATAGTAATGGCTCTAAAGTGTTCGAGTCTTTATTGTGTTTCAAATTCTAGGCTTAGCTCTTTGTGCTTTCAATTGTCCGATGTCAATTAAAAGGGAAAATCTAAATTTTCAGAAAAATTAGCCAAGTAGCAGTTTGTTCTTCAATTCCCTTATGGATGTACTGATTTACTAACTATGCTTCGGCTATAACCTCAGCCTCCTTTCCATTTCCACGTCAAACTATCCTGACTCCTAAAATTGTAGCCTCCCTACTTACTGCTCTCTGTCCATCTAAGTCGTAATTTTCCCAGGCACAGCTCAGGGATCGTGGTCTCTGCAAGGCCTGTCCAAATCCCCAGCAGAGATTTCCACTGCAGGCTCTTGGTGAGCATACATTGGCATCAGTGTCTCACCAGCCTGTTTTATTCTTTCACCAAACTATACTGGGGGCCAGGTCCATGACTCAGGTTTCTTTGCCTGCCTCTCCGGCACTCAGTGTTAACACTGCTTGTTACATGTGCTCACAGCCCTTCCCTGCTGAGGCTCACAGACCCACTAACAGCAGCATGACAAGGTTCAGAAATATAAGGCGGTGACAGCATTTTGTAGTACATGCTAATGCCACCTAATTCTAGTTTGCTGCTGCCAGATACATAATGGCTCATGTATCCTAGAAAGGAAAGTTTTCAAAATCATAGCTTTTACTCAAGTCTCAAAGGTCACCCTGATCTTTCTCAGATTGTCAGTTTCAATTTTTTTTTTAACATAATACTTGATTCACCTTTGCATTCAGCATGCTTTAGTGCCTCCCAATCTCCGGTATGTACTGGGAAAGTGGAAGAATTTTAATACCGACCCGAGTGAACTACAGCAAGGTTATTTGAGATTTTCTACAGAAAGGAGTCAACTTTACATAAGTCTCCAATGATCTATACCATTACTATTCTAAATTGGTATAATGGCCCGGGATTTAGCTCAGTGGCACCGCACCTCCCTTGTAACCGCAAGGTCCTAAGTTCAGTCCCTAGTACCAAAAAAAAAAAAAAAAAAAAAAAAAAACAAAAATGGTTTGCTAAATTGGTATAATGGCCCGGGATTTAGCTCAGTGGCACCGCACCTCCCTTGTAACCGCAAGGTCCTAAGTTCAGTCCCTAGTACCAAAAAAAAAAAAAAAAACAAAAACAAGAATGGTTTGCTAAATTGGTATAATGGTTGGTATGTGTGTAGTTTTAACCTAATAAGTGGGTTCTTGATGGTGTCTAGTTTTTAGCAAAATGCCTAAAATTTCAATAAAAGCCAAGCTTATGATGTAAAATACTCTTGAGACTCCCCCTTGACCTTTGTTGGGGTCAGGATGCTCAGTGAATGGGCCGCCTTACACCATTATCCACTAGAGGGCAGCCTCAAGTCTTAGAAAAAGGAGCCTGGTCCAAGGCGTCTACCAAGCCTTACTATACTCCCCAGCCTTTCAGCTCACAGGTAAGACCTAGTAGGAATAATACTCTTAACAGTTAAGCCAATACCTATTTCACAGTTTAACTTACGATGTATGAGGAAAACTGTCTTTCCTATGTTTATTGATCATTGCCTAGCACAGCTCTAATCAATAAAATGAGTGGAATTAGAGACTTAAAGCTATATTTTAAGTAAAATCTCTAATCTGTGCTATCTTAAAAGTTTAAATGTGTACACCCTTTGATCTAGCAATCCTATTTCTATGATTCTTTCCTCGAAGAATATTTGCAGAATTATATAAAAATATAGGTGCAAGAATGCTCACTGCAGCATTATCTGCAATAGTTTTTTTTTAAAGAACCTAAGCATCTATAAGAACATGAACTGAAGAACTGAAATACAGTTCAAGACAGTAAATACTATATAGCTATTAAAAATAATCCAGGGTTCTAAGTATTTTTTTCTAGGAAGAGGCAAAATATAGTACATAGAAATGACAATGGCTCTGTGTGTGTGTAGTCATAGAAAAACTGAAAGTCTGGAGGAAAATAGCCAGATATTAACGCTTGTTTCTGTGGCGCAAAGGTCAGCAAACGTTCGTTCTGTGAAGGGGCAGTTAGTTCTGTTAGGCTTTTTGGGACCCGAGACTGAAGCCCCCCCGGTAGGATGGCTGCTGTAGACAGGCTGTGATGGTGGATGAGTTCTAAAAACCCCATCTGCAGACGCTAAGATTTGAACCTCATGTAAATTTCATGTCACAAAATATTCTTGGAATTTTTTTTTTTTTCAGCCAGCTAAACACATAATGACCATTTCACCATTTCTAGTTCTGGCTAAACAGAAACGAAGTGGTGGCATTTTCTGTGGTTTGGTTTGGTTTGGGGGTGTGATTTGGTTTTTGGGTTTTTTTTTTCCTCCCCTGTACTTTAAAAAAATAATAAAATCTAAAGTAAATTTTTAAAGTGAGATCACCAAATCCTGGCCCTAGAACAGATAACAAATGTCAAAGACACGAGTCCTTGTACTCACCTTCTCCTTTGACCTCACAGAGATCAGGGCACTCCCAAACCGTGAACTTGCCTGTAAAACATGCTCTGTTAATGGGCACTTGCAAACACACCGTGACATTTTATCAGTTGAACATGTGGAAAGGGCACTTAGTAGTTTTTCTTCAGTCCTTCAAGTAATACTTACTTCAGGAGAAATTAGTACATATTGGGCCTAAAACAAATGGGAGAAAGAGGGACAATGTTACTACAGTTCATGTGGAGTTTTTAACTAGTTTTATACCTTCGCACTCACATTGCAACATTTCCAGGTTGTCCTTACAATTGTGCCTATCCTTTGACTCCATAAATCCCATTTGTGGGAACTTGGCTCCCAGAAAAAAATCAGATTATAAAAATATATGTATGGGAGTATTTGCCATTATCATCTTTAACAGTGAAAATTGGCCAAAGTAACCAATAATCATCACTTACATAAACAAGTTTACAGAGAAGAGTACTACACAGCTAACATATACATGTGTGTGTGTGTATATATATATAAATATAATTATGCTTAATCTATACTCTATATAATTAACCTGGTAAAAGAATATCAGATAAGTGGAACTTTACAGTAGTGAGGACTAAGCCCAGGGCCTTGGAACTGAGCTACATCTCAGTCCTCCTTTGATTTTGACTTGGGGTCTCATTCACTGAGCTACCCAGGCTCACCCCGAACTTTTGATCTTCCTGCCTCAGCCTCCCAGAGAGCAGGCTTTCAGCTGTGCACCATCACAGCCAGAAGAGAGGCCTCGACACAGCTTGAGTAGCCAGAATGCGCGGGACTAGAAGTGTTGGATTTGGGATTTTTTTTTTTTTTTTTTTTTTAGAATATGGGACATGAACATAGACACCTTGGGATAGGACCTGATCTCCATGTGAAGTTCATTTGTGTTTCATATATACTTAGGGCCTGAAGGTAATTTTGTACAGTATCCTAATTTGAACACAAACGATTAACGGTGTGGAGTTTTCCACTTGTAGCATCATGTTAGCTCTCAAAAATTTCAGATTTTGAAACATTTTAGATTAGGAATGCTCGACTTTACAGAGTCATACACAAAATCATACATAGTATCACAGTTTATTATGTGTATATTTTAAAGAAAAAGTTTTAGAATCAGATGTTGATTTGAATCCTTGGTCTGCCATTTAGCATTGTGGCCTTTAAAGATTATTTTCTAATCTTTAATTTCTTTACCTATAATTAGGAATAAGAATGACTTTATAGCTTCGATGTGGATTAAATTATATAGAGTCTTAGCATGTGCAGAGTAAATGCACAACAGACAGCAGCAATTAATTTCACAAAAACTCAGACAAAAGGTTAACAGGCATTAGCTCTGCAGAATGGAATTTTAGCTAGGCGATTTATAACTCTTCTTTGTACATTCTTGTGTTTTATTAAATTTTCACAGCAAACTTTCATTCATTTTGCAACTCAAAATTTGTTTTAAGTTAGAAACATAGCAGTGGCCAAACGTTAGAGGTTGAAGGGCACATAACTAAAGGAAACCCACCCAGGAAGAGGAGTCAAAGAAGCAAGAAGCAAAAGCCTGGAAGTTTAATGAAACCACAACAGCCTTAGCCTGTTTTTTTTGTTTTGTTTTGTTTTTTCTGCTGCTGTGGGCACTGAGGCAGACAATGACAGGCTGTGTCAGGGACCAACATGATACCAAGTCCAGTTGGACTTCAGATCTAGGGGCAAATGCTTCCCAGCTACAAGAACTGCAGGCCGCTGGGGTCTGCCACGTCTGGGAGTGACTGTGTCCTGACCGCATGACCCCAGAGTTCAAAGGAAAGCTGCTTGGTCTCATAGGAAGCAGAGAAGGGCAGGGAGGGTAAGGGGCTGAGGACAGGATACACCCTTCCAAGTCACGCCTCCCGTGGCTGCTGCCTCCTCCAACTGGGCTCCATCCATCAGTAACCCACTCAGCCAGTAATGAAGGAGTGAGGAGGTCAGTGCCCTCACAAGCCCGGTACCTCTCAGCCCTACCTTTGAACATTGCTGCACCAAAGATAAGCCCTCAATAGCGGAGCTTTGGAGAACACTTAATACTTAAGGATCCATGGAGTGATCCATCCCATCCCACATGGTGCAGCATTTTGTAGAGCACTTTACCTTTTCTTCTGGACAGGGAGTTATCCATGATTTGCATTTGCCTGTCACGTCACCAAGGGAGGTGTGCTTGCCGTTGTATATGTAAACTCGCCCATCTTCTCCGCCCAGTAGCCCCGAGGTTGCGTCTGTGATCCTCAGTGGGGCTGACATGATAATTTCATCTGCAGACGACAGAAACTGGGAGGAGATGTGTCCGACGACTCTATCGTCTTTCCCCTGCTTCACTACTGGATCCTGACCCAGCTTCCCACATAATTAGTATTTTCTTTAAATTGCCTGCTGGGTAAAGGCCTGTTTCCATCCTGTCCTTCCACGGCAGCTGTCCAATGAGCAAGGGGACTTCACGCTCGGCTGAACGCACACCTCTCTTACCTACGCCATCATGGTCCAGGTCACTGAGGTGCAGAACCTCACCAAAGCGGGAGAAGCGGCGGTCCCCACTGAAGGTGCTGACCAGGGCCGGCTGCACATCCTGCATCAGCCTGTACATCCGTGTGGCCCCTCCTTGGTGCAGCGTCATGGTCAGGAAGGCCATCTTAGACTGGTCATCTGAAACCACACAGAGGGCCATGGGCATCACGGGGTGAAGACAGGACACAGAACTCCCTGCTCTGCCTCGTGCTGTGAACCTAAAGGGACGTGGCACACAGGACATTTCCATGCCCGGCGTCTCTGGCAGGGGGGTGGTGTGAGTAGCTTGGGACCAAGCTGTCAGACCCTCCCATCAGGTTCCTTCTGCCCCCCTTTAGTAGAGTCCCCACACAATGACTTTATGTTTACATCACAAACTGCCTGGCTCACTCCCCGGACTTACAGGTTCAAATATGAGTGGACTTCGGATGGAGTCCAGACTCTCCTCAAGGCCTCTCATTAATCCAGCACCTAAGGCGTGAGTGCTGATTTGGGCCCCTGTCCCCTTTTCACTACACTCTGCCTATTATAAACATAAACCATAACCCAGTATGTGTCTTAACTCCACGCCTTGGGATATAATGTGCCTCTGCCTGGCCTAGACACCTCTCCTTCCAGACCCTTCTAGGCCACCACTGGCTGCTCCTGCCCTTCCTCTGGAAGTCGGTTCAGTGTGCCCTCTTCTGAAAGCCTTTCCCGACCTGCCGCCTAGCACAGGTGCTGCTGCCACAGCTCCTGGACCACGCTCTGCCAGTCCCTTAGACCCCACGCAGGGCAGCATCCGGTCCTGCTCACTTGGGTCCCTTCTGCTTGATGCAGTCTGCTCCACAAGTTGTGGGCTGTGTCTGTCTCTTTCCACTTTACCTAGCATGTTCTCTAGAGCCACGTGAGCACTCAATACATTTGTTGTTGTTTTTTCAATGAATTGTGAACAAATTCAAAACTGGTTAGGTTTTTGCCTATAAATCATTTTGGAACACAGCTTTGACAGAAATCAGTAGCTTCTTCAAAAAAGAATGGCATCTGTAGGTGAGTGGGATTGCTGGCCCTCAGAGGCTTTCTGTGACAGGTAACGTGGGTGGCGGTGGTGACAGTCTAACACCAAAGTCTATTCACCATTGTGTGTGCAACTGAAGTGAGTAATTGTTTATGGCAGATCATCCACTAGAAGCATCTGAAGCCTCAGAGTCAAAATCACAGAAATGACAGCAAGGGCCGGGGATTTAGCTCAGGGGTTCGGTGGCCTGCCTTGCAAGCACAAGGACCCGAGTTTGATCCCCAGTACCAAAAAAATGATATCAAAACAACAGGAGATACAAAAGAGTCCTTTAAGAAGCTCAGTGCACGGCCTGACCCAATACAATACCCCACCCCAAGGGAAAACGTTAAGACCAATAGCTAACACTGAGAGTAAAGTCTGAAGTATCAAGAATAGTTGAAATGGTAAAAATCCTCATTCCCTTCTCTTGGTGCCACCTGCAGGGAGCATGAGCCCTCTGGAGTGACAGGAACATGGTGCTACCCCGAGCTGTCTGCTTCCAGCCTCTCGTTTCACAGCAAGGATGACTGGGAGGCCCTGAGCTGCTGCCTGCAGGTTGACATTGCCACTGGTCCTGCTGTCTGTGGGAGCACAGGACAATGGCCATCCGCCTGCCAGGCAAGGCCTCAGGTCTGCAATACCCTTGGCCTCTTCTGCCATGCAGACCACGCCCTCCTGCAGGGAAGCCGCCCCCATGTCTAACTTTTGGGACAAAAATCAGCCTGCATATGGTTTTCCCCATTGGAATCATCCTCCAACCCAGCTATAGCGGGTCCTAAGTAGTATGTATTTGAACGGGTACAAAGGTACAGGAGAAAGGAGGAAGAAGTAGTGTCCTAATTGTACAGCAGAATGACTAGAGTTAGTAAACTCCCAGGTAGCTAGAAGTTTGTAAATGCTCTGGCCACAAAGAAATGATAATGCATAGGGTGATGATGTACTATGCTGATTTGTTCATTACATACTATTATAACTGTGCCCTGTAAATATGTATAATTAGTATGTGTCAACAAAACGATTCAGGGCTAGGAACATAGTAGTTCAGTGGTACAACACTTGCCTAGCACGTGCAAGGCTCAGGATTCAATCCCCAGCATCACCAAAAAAAAAAAAAAAAAAGCCTTTATTTTGATAATCATTTAAATGATTCAGAAATGTATTTCTCAACGGGCAAGGCAGGATTCAATCCCCAGCATCACCAAAAAAAAAAAAAAAAAGCCTTTATTTTGATAATCATTTAAATGATTCAGAAATGTATTTCTCAAATGGTTTTAAATGCCAAGGGTGATGAAGAGTTGTGATCATCTCTCTCAAACATCTAATAGTTACCACATTCTATTAGAGACGCATATAATTTAGAATAACTTCATCAAAATGCTTTTTCAAATTCTCAATTTAGAACAAAAGGATTCAGGTACTTTAAAATTTAGCCACTGAAAACACCTCCACCTGATAGGCAAAATAAAGGATTATGATATACATTTTTTATAGCTAAGGGGAAAAATGACGGGCAATACTTTAGCATTTCTGTATCTATTATTTGTAAATGTAACTCAGAAGACCCTTAGTCTCTAAGAGGGTCATATCCAGGGCCTTCGTGAATTCCCGAACCCGGTCCTATGGCAGCATGGAGGCCCTGAAGAAACACAACACCTTCCGGCTGAAGACCATCATATCTCAGACCCTGGCTGGCTTTGTCAGGTTCTCAGTTTTACCTGGGGAGAGGACTGTGTAAGGACCCAAGTGTTTTAATTATTTCTCAAGTATAAGTTTTCCCCCGGCGGCAGCAGCAAAGCAGAGCTTTTGTGCAACCTAGGTGCACCTCACACAGATGGTGTACCCAGCAAGCCACAGGAAGGGGACATCGCCAGGCAGTGGGCACACAGTGACTCAGAAAGGCTGCACATTGCCTCAAGTCACGCATTTTCAGGGTCACAGTGAAACGGCTGGGACTCAACAGTAAGCTCCTGAATGTCAGCATCTCTTGCATATGACTCATAAAAGATGGTATACTCAAAAGCAGCATAAAGAAGAAGAGTTATATAAGGTACAAAGTCTTGGGGAGAAAGGTGAACAGATAGAGATCTATTTATACATATTTTAAGCAGAATATTGTGTAGTACAGAATTTTATACTCTGCTTTTCACATTTCTGCCATTTTTAACATTTCCTATGATAAATAATCCTACAATAAATCCTTCCCCACACTTCTGTTTCCAAAGATCAGTTTCTTAAGAGTGGTCCAGGGCCAAGGGTATAGCTCAGTGGCACCACACCTGCCTGCCAAGCACAAGGTCCTAAGTTTGATCCCCAGTACCAGAAAAAAAAAAAAAATTAAAAGTGGCCCATACTGCATCTATAGGAATGAATATTTTTAAGGTTCTTGCCATGTTGCCAAAACTCTTCCTATAAAAGTTCTACCAGTCTATACTTCACCATCTCACCCGAGCTGTGCCATCACCGAGAACCGTATTCATCCTGAAATCACTCTGTACTCACTATGCAGCACTCTAAAACCAACAGGGGTGCACCTGTCTGAACTTGTTCCCCACAAAGACTCTATGCCTTCACCCCTAAAGTTCCCTCAAAGTAGAACATAGTGCTCAAATTTGGTTAGATCTGTACCGTAGCACTCAGCTTCCCAAACTGGACCTTGAAGTGCTTTGGTGAACGCAGTGATTTTGTGTTCAAAGGCACCCTGCATGGTGGAGACAGGGCCCCATTTCAATGAAAGAGCCCAACATTCAGTGATGTCCTCTTTGCAAAGCGGGTGTTCATGGGCAGTAGTGATAAAATGCCGGCATCACGTGACAAACCAGTATGGATTAGGGAATAAGATCATGATGTGTTGGGAACCATTCTACATAATTTTGGGGAGAAATCATTTCATAAATTATTTTTTCATAATTAAATTATGATTAGGGCTGTCTAAAGCCTAGTCTTCTGTTTTTTGGTTTTGGGGTGTTTTTTTTTTGGTTTTTTTTGTGTGTGTGTTTGTTTTTTTTGGTGTACCAGAGATCGAACTCAGGACCTTGTGCTTGCCAGGCAGGCAGCGGAACCACTAAGCTAAATTTCTGGCCAAGGCCTAGTCTTCTCGCCTGCAGGCTGGCTGTGGCATGTGGAAACAGAATTCTGTTTTGCCTCCAATCACAGCTGAGGCCTCAATGGTGCCATGATGCTGTGACACTCAAGGGCAAGGGAGGACAAACTCCTTATCAGCTCACCTCATCCCACCTCCTGTTGTAAGAATGTTTTGCTCATCTCACTGTCCTCATCAATGTAAGCTCCTCATCCACCTAAGATCCTCATCGTCCTAGGTTACCTCTGCCCTCTGAGTCGTCTAGTATACCCTCCCATCACTGTATGAACCCAATAAACAGTGGCCAGCTCGGAGTGTGTCTAACCCTCCAGCCCCCCATATACTGTGAAGTTACACCAATCTCTATTGTCTTGTTTCTCTTTAGCCCTCACGGCCCGCCTTTCTAGGCAGTCGGAGGACTGATCACCCTCCGATGACGATGCCTAAGTAGGTCCTCGGATGGGAGCTGTACATTGCCCAGTAGGAGCTGTACTGGTTAGGATACAAGCTTGGGGCCTGTGTCCTGTGCAGCCACACACAACACATGCTTGGAACTGCACCCTGGCTTGGCACAGTGTTCTATCACCAATACACAATCCTTACTTCGGCAAGGAGCTCCACATTTTGATTTGCCACTAGGCCTCTAATGTTATGAGGGTAAAATGTAATTTAAATGGAAAATCTGAGCAAAGCTGGTGGATTGTATTGCTGTCATTAACCTGAATGTGACATTATTATGTTTTGCAAGATGTTAAGGTTTGGGAAAACTAAACTACCTGACTCTGGTACTTCTCACTGAATGCAAGTTTACAGTTAGCTCAAAATAAATGGTTTAATTTATATAATATGTATGATAGAAATATGTAGGAATTAAACTTTCATTTTCTATTTTATTTTATAATTGCAGAAAAAATTCTATAATAATAAAGGCATCAAAACCAGGACAGTTTAGGAAGCTGTGACTCCCAGCACTCCAGAAAAACAGGGAAGAAAATAAGATCAACAGTGTGTTATAAGAGGTCAGAAATTACTATCTAAACTCTCTAAAGGAAAAAAAAAAAAGAAAAAACAATTCCAGTGATAAAGCAGCCAGTTTGCCGCTGAGTCAGCGAGTTCTAACGCTGACTTTGGCATTTTAGTAACTGTGTCCTTAATCATTGCAGTGAAACTCTTAGCCATTCCTTTGCCACATTCACTTGTACCAATTACTCAGATGTCTCCCATTTTGTATGAAACTGAAATCTTTCTGACAAATACTGGCAGGAATCCCACCTCCAGGAATCCATCCAAAGTACCAGCCAGAAAGGCAGTTAAGATTTTTGCACATGCACATTGAATAGTAAGGGTAAAAGTGGAAACAGCCTTGTAATTCCAGGTATAAGCTGATCCTGGCCTGTGCATGAGGAAAAATGCAGTATAAGTATCAAGCATGATACTTTAGAAGGATATGTAATAAGATATATGCTCAAGATATAAATAAGTTAAAATTAAGTAAAAATTCAGAAAGAAGTATATAGTATGACCTTAAGTTTTTATATACCTCAATAAGGGATTCTTTCTGAAGCAGTTCTTGAAATCCTCTTTTTCAAGTGTCTTTGGTTGCACTGCTGTGGCTGCATCAGTGTCCTGAATCTGTTTAGAACATCTACCTTCCATGATCATTTTGACTTTGGGGAAGAGCCAGAAGCTGCACACTGCCAGATGTGGGGATCGAGTGCAGGCGGACACACTCTGGAAGGTGTCTAGAAGCCTGCCTGTCTGCGGGATGGCCTGGGTCAGCAGCATTCACTGCATTTTCATCACACCTTTATAGAGATTACCCACAAAAGAGGATCTCCAGAACTGTTTCAGAAAAGTGACAAGGACGGGATAAGTGTGTTCAAAACAAGGGAGAGTTATTTTAAGGGGGCGCATTGGAAATGTGTCTTTTACTGCATTAAATGTTTTAAATTGAAACATTCACATTTTTTAATATTTTCACACATTTCAACAATAAGCATTTCAACAATAAGTGAGTTGGTTTTGTTGTGGTTTTTAAAATTTTGATTCCCATAAACAAAATAATGGTTTACTAAAATCTGTTCTCAGAATAGACCTGTTACCAGTGAACTAATAAAATCCTTCAGCTCCAACATCAGTGGGGTAGAGGCTATGAAGAGTTATTTTTCAAATACCGTTTTCAATAAGCTTTTGAAATAGATATCATAGTCTAAGGACATACCACCCTGAACGCACCCGATCTCATCTGAAATAGATATTATAATCCCTATTATATGTGGCAGAGGGGTTAAGTAACTCCAAAGTTATACCTCCTACTAAATCAGAAACAGAACCATTTAAACACAGTTTTTTGTTTTGTAGTATTGGGGCTTGAACCCAGGGCCTTTGCACTGAGCTACATCCCCAGCCCCATTTTTTTTTTCTTTTTTTTTTTTTTTAATGTATGTGGAGACAGGGTCTCAGTAAGTTGCCTGGGCTGAGCTTGAATTTGCCTCACTCATGCCTTGGCCTCCCAGAGTGGGTTTGCAAGCGTGTGCCACCACACCCATCTTCAACCCAGTGCTGTCTAGCGACGGATCGCAAACCTTTTTAGCCAGTGAGACATGACTAAAAGAAAGCAGGGCCACGGCCCGTGACCTACCTCGAGTCGGGGCCCCGACTAGCAGCACGTGTGTCAGGGTCCCATTCATCATGACGTGGCCACTTGAGAGGGAAGTGCCAAGTTTCCCCATTGCCTGTGAAATTCGAGGGTCAGTGCCTTGCAGCTGAGAATTCCTCGGTAGCACCCACTGTCCAGGGAGGAGGGGTCGCTATACCTTGTCCCCAGAAATGGCAAACTTGCTTTGGGAGCTGGGTGGGAAGTAGCCGTACACCTTGCCAAGGCTCTGGGTGTCCCTGTGCCTGTGGAGCGAGTGGCGTAGCCTGAAAGAAGCAGTGGGCTGAGCTCAGGGGACAGAGCTGCTGGGGACCCACCCCCACTCAGGCCTCCCATGCACCCCATGCTGTGATGTTGTTCCTGGAAGGGAGCGACCGCTGGGGTTGATCCCAGCAGCATCCAGGTTTTCCAGGTCTCTCCACCACCATTCTGCCTCCCACCTGACAGCAAATACGGAAACGCTACTGTCCGAGCGAATGGTGTTGTCTTAAATTCTTGGACTCAAATGGCACTGTATTCGGGGATGGGTTAAAGAAGTGACCATGATAAAATGAGGCCACTGGGTGGGCCATCATCCTATCTGACTCATGTTCTTAAAAGGTGACATGAGGACACAGACATAGAGGGAAGACACAGGTCAGGCTGAGGGGAGAGGCATCAGAAGAAACCAACCCTGCTGACACCTTGATCTCAGACTTCTGGCAGAGAAATAAATGGCAGACAATAAATCCCTGTTTATGCCATTAGCCTGTGGAATTTTATTATGGCAGCCCTGGCAAACTCATACTTACCAATCATATTTCTCACCTAAGATGGAGAAGCAGTGGGCTGCCAACCTCCACTTGGCCAAGGGCAAGGACATCCTCACTCCTTTGCCTGTGGCCTCACTGACTGGGCCCACAGCAGCAGGCAGCCATCTGGGCTGCATTCCTCGATCCCTGGGCCCATGCCACCCTCACCTGCTGACATTCTTCCAGGTCGGGCTCCCCACCAGCAGCAAGGTGCTGTTGTTCACGGTGACTCCATGGAGGGAGTAGCCAAACCAGGAGAAGTCCTCCTCACCTCGCACCAGCCAGTCCGCTGCCTCCACACTCAGCTCTCCTGAACGAGACAGCAGCCCCTTCAGTCAATGAGGACCGCAGGGTGCAGACCCTGGGGTCTGCATGGGGCCTGAGGAGGAACAGGTTCATTGGCTGAGCTTGCCCCCAAATTCTTAGATTCCATACTGATCCCAATGTCAGACATAGATCCCTAAATATGTTCTAGAGCTCATTTCCATGGGGTGGGGATATCACTGGACAGGTCAGAGCAGCCCCAGGAAGCCCTCGGTCCCAAACTGCCTTAGCATCTCTGCTTCATTTGGAGAGACTGTGACAATAACCTATTGGCTCCCTGGGATCTGGATCAGGAAATTGGGCCCCTTTTTCATATACTCAGAAGCTCTCGCCACATCACTTACACCATCTGTAAGACTGTTGGAAAATCTTGGTGACAACATATGAAAGAATAAGGACATCAAGAGAAATAACAGATTGGGGAGCCATATCTCTGTCCCTTCCCCCATGGAGAGCTACCTTTTTTACTCCCATGGGAGCCAGAATAGAACACAGCCACCATGCCTTTCTGCTTCCCTCCGCCTGGTGCAAAGGGCGAGCCAATCACTAGGTCAGGCATGCCGTCTCCACTCACGTCTGCAGCCAGGAGCGTCCAGCCCAAGTTACAGTAGACATCCTGCAGGGGAACCAGGAGCACATTGGGCTCAGCCCAGGAGGCGCATGGGGTGCAGAGTTCCAGGTTCCTGCACCTGGCCAAGGTGCTAAACGTACCTGGCAGGAGATGGTGATGTCAGGGGAAGAAGACAGTCTTCCTTGTTTGGAACCAAAGTAGATGTACACTGCTCCCTAGACAAGGACAGACGGTAACAGACAAGAGTGCTCAGGTGGGGACAGCCACCTTTAAACTCAGAGAGCAGGGACAACTATGAAGTTAACCACCGTGATTCCCTGCATGCAGGAGCTTAATGCCTAACAGAGCCAACCTATGCCTTGCTCCTGGGCTGGTGGCATTTTTTAAAACCTGTCCCTTACACCAGAACGAGAACCCCAAAAGCAAAACCTGTCATTTTTATCTTTCCCTCCTAACATCATGCTCAGGGTCGGCCAGATCACTGTGCGGTGTGTTTGCAGGGTGACTTGCACCACCATCCCCTCCGAGGCTCCCTACCCAGCCTGACACTCCTCTGAGGAGCACACCGTACACAGCGTCTGTACCATTCACTGGCCAGGGGACACACCATGCTGTTTTTCTGTGTGATGAGTCCGTTCTCTTCTACTTCACCTGTCTCCATGCCCATCGCTTCTACAAGCATTTGCTCTCCATCATGAGCCAAGACCTAGGCACACAGTGCCAGGGAAGACCTTTCCCTGCTCTCTCCAGAGCTGGCAGACAGGTGATTGGGATGCAGCCATACTGGGTACAGATGGGACAGGATGTTGTGCGGGGACCATGAAGCAGCGATTGGCCCCACCCGGGGGTTAGGTAACACTGCCTCCAATAAAGGACATGGAGGAAGCTGGGCAAGCAAAGTCCAGTGAGAGAGCCTGCCAGGCGGGCTCAGGAGGTTAACAGAAAGCTCTGGAAGTACAGTATGGAGAGGGTCATCCTGGGAGGGTAGCAGACAAAAGGACTTTGACCTCCAAGGTCACAGCACCCAGGGCGGGTCTATACCGTGGTGTGAAGAACAGGTGGGAAAACAGTCCATGAGCAGCGCCCAGGATCTTGGCTCTCGGAAGCAAAACTGGCAGCAGGAATGAAAGGCAAAGCCCAAGGCATCACCTCCCTGCTGTGGCATCAGGAAGCTACACATCAGCTGCCATTTCTGTCTCCTTTGCCAGCTTTCACCTTGGAACGGTGTGGAAAGAGTGAAATACCTGGTGGAATTGTGAAACTACAAGGCCAAAGTAAGGCCAGGGAACAGATGCCATGTGGTAATGCGAGATCACATCAGGGACCAGTTGGTGATCTGAGCTGGGCTGGCACATGGGGGGGGGCATCTACCCTGCTCCAGGACTCTCCCAGCAGGGTTTCCATCGCACCCCACTTCCCCCGACCCCTCCAGCCTTACTTTGTATGTGAGCTGCTCGGAGCCCACCGAGGGTGCTCCCACGGCCAGGTCAGGTGCCCCGTCCTTGTTAAAGTCCATCACAGCCACAGCCGAGCCAAAGCGACCTGAGGGCTGAAGAGGTGATACAGTGACACTTGCCACACCACCGTGTCCCAGTGCCCCGTCTGTGACTTATGAGATCATTTCCTACACCATGTCCATGGCACATGGGAACACAGCTTTTGGAGAGGTAGGAACTCGACAGACTGGAAGACTGCTTGGGTACAGAGAGCACATTGGGGCAGGGTGGGGACATCTGGGGACAGTTCCTTTCATCACCCGCAGCTGTGCTGTCAGGACCTGCCTGCCTGCCTGAGAAGCAGGAAGGGTTTGAGCAGGCAGGGCCTGGGGTATCTGTCCATCCTACCCCTCCTCTGCAGCCAGAGCACAGGCCCACGGCAGCATGTCTTCATCCTGTCACCAAAGTCACCACCCCATTGTCTGTGGGAAAATAGGTGCCACACTGAACAGCAGCCTAAAGGGCGTGGCAGGGCAGTAAGAGCAACAGGAATGGGCTCATTTATTTCAGAAATTTTTCATGGGGTGTCAGGATGCTCCAGAACAAAGGACAGCCTGTGGGGCCGTGGAAGCTCCTACCCTGGCCAGCGCAACTTATTTACTCACCTCGGACCTGGGTCCCCTCTCCTCAGAGCCTAAACTGGATCGATCATCAGCCACTGGATTCTGGGCTTTTTAAAAATATGTCCAAGTGGGACATCTTACTTTCTCTTCATAGTATTCATTGCAAAAGGATAAGCATCTTGCCCAGAAACAGAACCGCAGCCTGATTCCAAGTCTAGGCTTCCTGTCCCAGATGTGGGCAGCATGTACCACGCCTATGCCCAGCCCACATCTCCACAGGCCCCTCCTCATCTGTGTAGGTGAGGACTGAGACCCTCATTACCTCTCTGGACCCAGAAATTACAGAGGAATTAGTGCTCATGTCCCTGGGGAAAAGTGTATCTGTACAGCTACTGAGAGTTTCTTCTGGTGATGAATAAAAACTCAAAGGAAAGGAGTGAAATTGGACAGAGTCTGGGATGTAGTTAATGGCCATGTCCTACTGTGGGTGTTTCATTTTCCCACCAACATTTGGTAACTATGTAAGGTATCAACATGGGAATTGGGGAAGGGTCTATGAGAATTCTGTACTGTTTCTACACCTTTCTGTGCACCTGAAACTATTCGAAAGTTATACACGTGCTTTATGTAATTGAGAAATCACATCCTAACTGGCCACTCAAGAAGCTACAAACAGCACATGTTTTAGGAAGCCATGAATACTCAAAAGTTGATGCCTTGAGCTAAAGGACATGAATGTGCTTTTAAAAACAAAAAGTGCCACACAAATGTAGTCTACCAACTGTTTCCTATCACAGCTTGCTCATACCAGAGAACTTGCCATGGGACTCAGCCAGTGGCCTCTTCCCCTCTAGAAGAGAAGCATGGATCAGGCTCACCTTGGAGCCCTCCAGGACCCGATGTGCATCCTTGTCCAGGTCCAGGTCCATGTGGGGCAGGCCCTGGTCGTTGCCATAGATCACATACACACGCCCTACCTGGAGGTGGCCAGGGTGGCTGTAGCCAGGTGCACCCACCACGAGGTCGCCATGCCCATCCTGGTTGAAGTCTGCTGAGGCCATGGCCCTTTGAGAAGAAAAGGACTCGCTGCAGTTGCCACTGAGCAGGGTAGTGAAACTGCCTACCACCTCTTTGCTCTCTGCCACTATTTAACTTTCTCTCGCTGATTGCCCGACCTTCAGGGTGCTGGTAAAATTCCCCTAGGAGGTCATTTGTTTCACTCTGGAGGGGCAGCTGGACACAGCACAGTGGGCATCTTGAGAGCACATAACCTCACAAAGCATCCCATCTATCTGCTGGGCTCCCTGAGATCAAAGAACAATTATACTCACGCAGCCCCCAGCTGCTTTCTGATCTGCTCAACTCATGTCTGTGTTGTGCACTAAAGATGAGCCTGCATTCATTTCTGCCAGACCCACACGGGGAAACTCTTAATGGGTTAAATCGAGCACCCAGCATATTTAGTGGATGCATCCAGATGGGACCCATGACCTAGCAGTTTACAGAGATGGACAATCAGACTCAGAGGTTCAAAGGTCACTATCATGGCTGACACTGATGCTGCTTGCAGTGGCCCACGGGAAGGTCCCGGACAGCTGCCCATGTGGCTGCCAGGCTAAGCCGTCTCTGGCCCTTTCAGGAAGTTGGCCAAGAACTATCATTGGCAAGTGGATGGCAAAAGAGGGGTTCACTACCCCAGGCTCCTGTGCCAGAGCCAAACACATCAGGGACCCAAAAAGGAAGTAAACCTCTCCAAGAAAATGCATGTCATCCAGATTTAAGGAATGTCATTGTGACAAAGAGGTATCACCAGATGCTCCAGAAAACAGTCACTTTTGTATACCTGAGCCAAGTTTTAGATGAATTTTAAAACCAGAGAACAATCTCTTTATAAAATATTGTATAATCAAATCATTATCATATCCCTCTGCTTACATCCTTCTAATGTCATTGGATTGCCAAAAAAAAAAAAGACAATGTATCCCCAATACCATGAAAGCTTTACAAATACACTGCAAAAACAGATTGTCATAATTACTTAGCAAAATGAGGGCTCCTTGTATTTAAACATATTTAAACAACTTTAAAAGATCACCTCATCTTTTAAAATAGCTTATCCACCCTGATGAATTCATTGGAAAATAAGATGTTAACAGATGCCATTGTGAATGAATGAAATACGGGTGGAAACATTCCCAAAGCAGATAAATGTACACATACCAACCAAGCCTGGCATAGGGCAAGGACAGGAAGTAAGATGCTGAGGGTGTGGAGATGTGCTTCGTGGGGTGCTGGGAGCTGCCCGTAAACATGGTCCGTAGGCTCCTTTCCAAATTCTGGTACACAAAGGTTATGGAATCCTGAAAAGAGTAGTATCATAGACAGGTAAAGACACAGGTAATCAACAAAAGCTATTGAACCTGTGTAAAGGAAATCAGTTTTTACGAGACAAGTGTTAAAAAATAAAACATTGAGGGCCAGGGATTTGGCTTAGTGGCACCATCCCTGCCTTGCGAGCACAAGGTCCTGAGTTCAATCCCTGGTATCAAAAATAATTAAAATAAACAAACATACATTGATTCTATCAACGAGCAAGGTCACAGAGGCCAGACAATGAGAGGGATATTGCCACCCTCCAATGGTTTGCTGAGGGAGAGAAGAAGTAAAACCTAGCAGGTAGAGCCAACATGGGAAGGATTATCCAGGACAGAGTACTCCATACCAAGTCAGGAGGGTCTGCACTGATTTGTAGAATCTAGCTGCACAAAATCATCTTGGTGGACCAAAGTTTGAGAAGAGACAAGTTTGCACAATCTGGAACCGTAATGGTGTTTGCATATATTACTTGTGTCTCTTCAAACAAATGAACTAGACCATTGCCAGGATGCCAAAACACACACATATTGAGATGCCACCGCATGCAGTTTCAACCTCCAGAAACAGGTGGCAGAGGTCACAAGCAGAGCCAGAAGCCAGGTGCTAGACACGAGACCCCAGCTTGGGGTGCCGAACTGTCCCTAATGTGGTCACTGCAGTCTGCAGCACACAGAGCAAGCTGGCTGGGCACCAGATCCACCTGAGCTAAGAGGATGAAGCTCTAAATCCACCCACTAGCAACACAGGACAGAACCAGCTCCAGGCCCGGCCCAGAGCAGAGCAGAGCAGAATCCCTGCAGCATTTGACCTCTTTGTGATGGCTGTTCTTTCTGGAGTAAGATGAACTCTGCGTTGTTTCAGTTTGCATTTCTCTCATGGCTGGCAATGCTGAACATTTCCCACATGTCAGCCTTTGTACTTCTGTGGTGGCTATTAATTTCAGGTGCCCATTTTTGATCGGGTTATTTTGGTGGGTCCAATTTCCCCGAGTTCTTTAAAGAGTATAGAGATTCGTCTAACTGAGGAGTAGCTGACATTTTTTCCTCCATTCTGTAAATTGTTTCTTCTTTCTGTTGGGTGTTTCCATCGCTCTACAGAAGTATCTTCAATATGATCTGATCCCACTTGATGATTCTGGATGGGATTTTTGGTGCAAACGGGGTTTTATTTTAAATCTTTACCTATGCCTAGATCCTCAAGAGTTGCACCTATTTTATCTTCCAGCAGATTAAGTATTTCTGTGTTAATATCCTGGTGTTTGACCCATTATTTTATTCTAGTGCATGGCAAAAGTTATGGTTCTAGATTCAATCTTCTTGTGTCTGAAGAGCCAGTTTTCCCGGCACCCTTTGTTAAAGAAGCTATCTTTTCTCCAGCATATGCTGATGACCCCTTTGTCAATAATCGGGCAACTGACTGCCTCGTGTTGTACTGTATGCCTCGTGTTGTGTTCTAGTTTCCTCAACTTTCCGAACATTCTGAAATTTCCCTAAACCACAACCAGCAGTGTGCTCTCTCACTAGCACAGCACTGTCTACTGTATCTACTGCCCAAGGCCTGGCTCAAATGCTACCTCCTCCCAGGAGCCACCCCTGACTGCCGCCAAAATCAAAAGGACCTCCAGACTATCCAGCATCCCTTTACCCCATTATGGTATTTGGTGCCTTCTACTCACAAGTGGTTATTTTTTTTAATCTGTCATGCTTATTAGACTGGAATCTAAAGGTCGGGCTATGTCCCTTTCATAGTAGTTCATGGCCTCACACAAAGGATGACTTCATGGATACAATGGCATCCCTCTCCATAGGGCTGCAATGCTACTGACAAGTGTGTACCTAAGCCAAAGCACAGCTGGTCCTGGTACCAAAGGCCACCTTGGGCTCCACCAACTTGACAAAGGCCAACGAAATTTTGAGTTACAGCATCTCTAGAACAGACCACATTTAGAGACCAAGGCCATTTGCTGGCCTGGCACAACCCCAACTAACTTTCACTACACCATCCACACCCAGGGAGTCCACAAGGCCACACGAGCAGCAGCCTGTGCCTCTGTTCCATCAAAGCGCAAGGTTCTCACCGGGGTCCAGGAATCCACACTATAGAACACTCCTCTTTCCGTATAGTTTATGTTTTTTCCAATGTGTTTGGTTACAGATGCAGTCAAATTCCTATGGAAATCATTTTTCTGTGCTTTTGAGCTGTTGAAGAGACAGGAATAAGATAGTTAAGATTGAGAAAGTTACCAACCACCTGAACTACTGAGTTGAAGAAAAAAGTCACATTAACCACAGGTTAAAAGATGACAGAATTTCAACATTTGTAAGTCAGAGAAATGACACAAAAGCAAAAGTTTTAGAAAAATCTTCTAGTAAAATCTTTTAGTAAACATATCCCAAAGCTTAAAAATCTTTCTTCATAATAACTGATATGTCTGAAGCAGGTGTAGCTCAGTGGTAAAATGTGTGCTTAGCACGTGTGTGGCCCTGGGTTCAAACCCCAGCATCACCACCAAAGGTGTGGGGGGGGGGACCTGACATTTTCTGTAGTCTCAAAATTCTTCAGTAGGAGGAAAAGATTTCAAATTTACTACTAAAAGTTAAAGATTTCAACATTTCACACAAAAGAAACTGGGCTATATTAGGTGAGAAAGTAGTATGCCGACCTACTGATTTACCTTTAAAGACATGCTAAGGATATGCAATCCAATAAAAACTCTCCAAGTCAGATATTTTAACCAGACTGTAACACGGATGCTGAAAGAGCCAGAAAAGCCTCTGGAAGGAAGCAGAAGCGGCCTTACGCTGAGCTCCACAGCCAGGAGCCCACAGTGTGTAACTCAGTTTCTCTGTTTGGCAGTGCTGGGGATTGAACCCAGAGCCTTTGCACTGAGGTACATACCGAGGCCTTTTTATATATAAAAAAAAAAAATTTTTTTTTAATTTTGAGACAAAATCTCAATAAATTGTCCAGGCGGGGTTCAAACTTGCAATCCTCCTTCAGCCTCCCCAAGTGCTGGGATCACAGGCGTATGACACCACACACAGCTGCAACTAAAAAATTTTTAGAAAACAGCCAAACCTACCTGCTTTGAATAATAAAGCAATGAGGGTTTATTTGAACCTTTCTGCTTCTTTTAAATTCCTCTGAAGTGTGAAGATCATTCTTCTCAGCGCCCCTCATCCCAATGCCCTTTTGGAATTTCTAATATCTGCTCACCCTGAAATATCTCAGCATTTCTTCCAGCACAGCTCTTGAGGGGCCTGGACCGGGACCCCTGGGGCGCACTCCCAGCTCACCTGGCATTCTCCTCCCTGAGGCCTGCAGACACTCACACTGACTTATTCCATGCCAGCCCCCTGCTTGCCACATACCCCGTGAGCAGCAGGCACCTGTTCACGATGCTCTCTTGCACCTAAGAGAGCTCCTGGCACCCAGTGACTAATATCTGGCATTTCAATATTTATATGATTTTAGTTTGATGTTTGGCTTGTTATACTGATTCCTAACACTAACACGAACAAATAACTGGATGTTGGCGCCCACTGGCACCAGCAGGAGACACCAGTAAGTAGTACCCAGGATGAAAGCTGGGTCAAAGTTATGAGTACTGATGATAATTACAGCAGTGCGGAGACGACCAAGTATTGTTAGAGAGCAACTCACTGTGCTTGTGGCTTTTCCAGCCCGGCAGTAATCACTACCACGATCCCAGGAGCATATGCAGGCTCTGTCCATGGTGCAGAGGGAGGAAGCTACACCTCTAAAACCTCAGCAACTTGCTGAAAAGTCCCAGGGCTCTTCACAGCAGAGGCAGAATTTGAACACACGTCTGTCTACAGGCCCCATACTCTCCACTGCACCCTCCAATGGAATCTACTCACCTGAGGCTGTTGTTTCGATGGCCGCCACATGCAATGAACAGAGGGTTCTCGGGCAGGTCGCAGTTGCTGGGGAATAGTGCAATGAGTTAGGCATGTGTTGACTTTCTCCTAGAGCATGGCTTTTTCTGAGAGTCGGGGTGCAGTTTAAACCCCCTTCCAAAAGCTTAAGGTGTTCCCTGCCTGGCCATACAGGACCCAGTAGGAGTCTTTCCAGACAGGGGCGGCTAAGGCACCGTAGTTTGGGAAAGGGTCCCCTGGCCCCACGTCTCATACTCACACCTCCCCTCTCACTGCTGCTCCACCTGCCAAGACACTGTGGCTGAGAAAAACATTCTCTCTGAGTCCTCTTTGCTCCATCACCAGGCTTAAAATGATTGTTTGGACTGGATATGGTGATGCATGCCTGTGATCCCAGGACTCTGGGAGGCTGAGGCAAGGGCACTGCAAATTAGACCACTTCCAGGGGAAGAGAGTTAATGCTTCTCCTCTTCTAGACTTACCACACTCAAAATCCCTTAAAGATACTTCATAAATCAGATTAGTTGATATAGGGCAGAAACCTTTTCTTAAGATAAAGAACAGACTGTTTCAAATGTTTTTAGGTAAAGCATCTTAGATTTTCCATCAAAAAAAATTGTTGTAGCTCGTGCCTTTCACCTGTAAAACAGGAAGGCCAACCTTTTACCCCGTAAGCCAAGACCGAGACAGAATGTCGTATAGACGCTCAAATTCCGCGGATTCTGCTGCCAAAAACACATTAAGTACTCCCGGCTCCGCGCTGCAGCACACCGCACTGAGGGTCCGCTTTTACATTTCTGCCTAATAAATCCCTCTGTATCTCTTTAAAAAGACAAACTGCCAATTTAGTGAGATCCTATCTCTACACTAATAAGGAAGGAAGGGAGGGCGGGCGGAGGGGCAGGCTGGGGTAATGGCTCAGTGCAGAGGCCCTGGGTTCAATCCCCATTATTACAAAAGAAGAAAAGGTAGCTAATGACATTGCGCTAAACCTGCAAATACATTTTGACATAAGCAGAGTTCTGGCTGAGGATGTAACCACCAATAATTCAACATTTCTTTAGAAAAGTATGAGTTTCAAATAACAAATGAGCTTTGGAAGGTAACCCATTATTAGTCAGCTAGAAGATTCATGTTAATATGAAAATAGGTGTGAATTTTTCCTTTCATGAATTTATTTGTATTATCTCTTTGGAGCCTTCTCCAAATTTCTCATAAATGTCCATGAATTGGGACAAATCTTTGTGTATAAAGAAGCAATTGATTTATAGAATTTTGTGTCTTGGTCAATTACAACAGAGATCAAAGGAGAAGAGATGTATTCCTTTCTATTATTTCTTCCTGAAGAAAGGATGTGGTCCAGGAGCACATCTTTTCTTAGCTATATGTGGAACAAACCAAAACAAACCCCAAAGTGAGGGGAAAGGGAAGGGGAAGAAGTGGAGGGGGCAAGTTAAAGGAAAAAAATATGAAAAAAGGAAAAAACAGAAACAGTCTTTGTAAACAGGGAGGGGTGGAGGGGTTGAAGGGAGGACAGGGGAATGGGGAAAAACTAGGAACCAAGACATATCACGTAAAGGTACAAACTGCCAATGATGAGTGTCATCATATTGTATACCTAAAATGTACAAATAAACTTTATTTTTTAATGAATTTTTAAAAACCCAAAGTATGTTTTCCAGCTTCAGAATCATTAAATATGGACGACGTAAAACAAGGAAAAGAGGTCATTCACCGCAATGCAACCAAATGTTACAAACCCTTCCAATACAGACTCAGCTTGCTTCTAATAACAATTATAATCACAGGAGCCAACATTTATTAAGTGCTAACTACGTGCCAAACCCTTGGCATGAGCACACTCATGTATTCCTCACAGCCGCTGATAAAGACAGAATGATTAGCAGCTGGTTCCAAATAACTCAGTGGGAGTGGCAGGACTCTCAAGCCTGTCCTTGCTACAGCCCTGCACCTTAAACTCCCAGACTCAGGCAGGGCTTGGGACATGAACCTAAGGCTCTCCTGCTATTAAAAATGTCAGTTCTATTAGGTTGCTTAGCCCTGCCAAATTGTTACTTATTAGGCTTCAGAACAAGTTTCCTAAGCTAAAGTCAAACTCATCAAAGGATATTTTGTTTCAAATCAACACAACATGTAATTATGATTAACAATATGTGAATAGTAGAAGATGCTTTTAAAGGCACAGGAACATCGCCCAGTATATAGTCTAGAGCTCTGCTTCTGTCAGCCACCTCAGCTTAACACCCACACCTCCCAGGATCCTGCCCTGGAATCACCCCCTGGGCTCAGCTCCTGCCTGCAGAACTGGCTTTTCCACCCTGCACCACCTGACCTTCTCATAACTCTTTCCCTAGAGTAGGTGCCTCCTGTGATGCTTCCTCTTCAAGCTCTTACTGACCACCCAGCCCCGCAGCTGGAGGACTTGTCCCCCACAGTGCTGCTGTGAACAGCTTCTCTGAGGGATCCTGGCTCCCTTGGATGAATCCACTACCCCATCTTTATTTGGGCTCTCTGGCTAACTCTTGTCCTGAGCATGCCCAGGAGAGGAAGTAAAGGACCTGGGGTTGAGCAGCTGTCCCACCTGGGCTGCTTTTTGGATTTTTCTTTTCTTTTTGGTACTGGGGATCAAACTTGGGTCCTTCTGCTTGAGGCAGGTGGCGGAACCACTGAGCTAAATCCCCAGCCCTGCTTTTTGGATTTTTCAAGGAAGGCTGCACCATCTGTTTCATTTTGGAGGACAGGGGTATGGCTGGGGCTCCATCCTCTTACTGAGATCAGGCAGCCCTGGCAACCCTGGGCCCTGAGACGTCAGTCTGGGTGAAAGGAGGGTGGACACACAGCCTTAGTGTAGTGGTGCAGCCACCTCAGAGCCCTGGAGAGAAACTCGGGCACCACCCAGGGGTTGATTCCTTCCTGTCTGATTTCTCACAGATCACAGCATTTGCCTCTCCAGCCCTAAAACTTGCCTGGCATCAGCCATGTCAAGCAGGTAGGAATCCATCAAGTTTTTGAGATGACGAAGTTTCTATCCTTTACCTCTTTGAATAAGTTAACACTGTAGGTCATGAGATTGTTTGGTCTTTTTTTTTTTTTTTTAAACTGGAGAATTATTCTGGAGAACAGGGTAGAAAGATGAGATGGGTATAAGAAAGAGAGTAATAATTCACCTGGTACCATTCTCTAGCATGAAGCTCGTCAGACGGTAGATATTTGTGGACCAGAATGCCATATCATCCAGTCCTCCAAGGAAATATTCTTGGAAATGTTCCACCAAAAACGGGGACTTTATAGAGTAGGTGGAATAAAGCTAAAGCAGAGAGAATGAAAAGATAAGTAAGGTGCCACTCCTGCCATGGTACATCCCTTTAAAATTTCAAAGAATAAAGTCTTTACCTTGGAAACAGCTAACATCTCTCCATACCTGCAACATAAAGGATCATTTTGAGAATTGTAGTTTCTATAGATAAATGAAGCAAATAAGAAAAAAAGCACCATCCCATGTATCCAACTATCACACACTGCCTTCAAATAGGCAAAATCCGTAAATGCAGAATCCCTTCCCAGGAACTAACACACAGAAAGGATGCTAAGTCACACACAGATGAGTTGGACACTTTCCTCTGGGTCACACTTACATCTCCAAGAACTGAAGGTATGAACAGTCGACAATGACATTTGCTGTGATGACTTTTCGACCATAGAGTTTCTCATAAATCTCCACTAGATCTTTGACAGGCACATACCTGAGAAATGCATTAGAATAAAATGTGTCGATTCTGAAGGTGGCTATAACAGCAACAGAAATAACAGCTGCTACCAGTTATTCCATAATTATTATATACCAGACATCGTTTCAGTGATACTACCAGTGCCACTTTACAGAGGGGGAAACTGAGGCACAGAAAAGTTAAATATTGGCTCAGGGATGCAGAGCAAACAATTGGTACCCTAAGTATTTAGAAAGGTATATTCAAAGGTTGGAAAGGATGAAGGGCAAAAGCAGCATTTAATTTTGTTAATTGAAGACCAAGGATTTAGCTCAGTGGTGCCACTGCCTGACTTGAAAACACAAGTCCTGAGTTTGATCCTGATACAAAAAAAAAAAATTTTTTTTAATTGAGAGTTCAAGAAAAAATGTAAGGCATTTTCACTTTTTTTGAATTGAACTAGTCTCAAGAATCATTATTTTTAATACAGCAAACACGGCTCCTCATCTTGGCATGCTAGTTTCAGAGAGCACAGTGTAAAGTAGTGAAAATAATTCTATGTCCACTTTTTGGTTCACAAATATTAGTTATTTCTGCTGGAAGAATGGGATATTTTAATTTAGTTTTTTTTTTTTTTTTTTACTCATTCATCTTTTAATTTCAAAATCCCTAAATTGACAAAATCGTAGCAAATAAAATCGGACTCAAACATATTTACAGAAAATAAAGGACTGGCAAGTCCATTTTTTATTTTATAAGATCATTGGAATGACTTTTCCCTATAAAAATAGCTTTAGACAAAAATAACAGAAAATATTTATTTTAATGAATCACTAAACTAGCAAGAAAGTGAAATATTTCCAAAGACCAGAACAAATGGGAACTAGGAAGTCTGGGAGGTAAGCAGAGGGGAAAACCACCTTCCCCTAACATCTGCCAATTCCTGGGAACCCTCCAGGTTGTAGGTTCACAGGAGAACATGAAGTGGGCCATCTCTGCACTGTCTAGAAGACAAAAGGCTAGATATTTTGCATGAGTATGACCTAGAAATAAACCAACATACAAAAAAAAAAAGCACACACACAGCAAAGAAACCTGTTTTCATCTTGGCAATGGAGAGAGAAGGAAAAATATACATATATTCTCAGAAATAGTAACCCATGAATTGCAATTAGCTTTGGCAGACTTACTAGCCATCCCCACAAGTGTTTTGTCCTACAGCCATGCTACCTGTTTAGTCAGAAATCATCAGAGGTCAAGTGTAAGTTAAAGACGTCCCAGATAATAAGACCTCAAGGTAACCTGCAGAGGCCAAACCAAACCCTTGCTGGAGAAAAGGAAACCTGAGTAATTCAAGACCCATGAATACAAACCAAAGATGGCCAGTATAATGGCAGGCAAAGCTGGAAAAGTAGGTATTAAGGCAAAAACATTGCTAGAGATAAAGGGGTCACTACGTTATGGTAAAACGTTCAGTTCACCAGAGGAGATGACTTTGAAACTCGATTGGGTCTAATACTGTATCTTCAAAACATACATATATTTTGACAGAACAGGAAGAAGTTGAAAAATCAGTCATTAAGAGAGGAGAATTTTTAACCAAATTTTTCTCTCAGGTAATCATCAGGTCAATCTGATTTTTAAAAAGAAATAGTAGAAGTATCTTAGTTATAACTTGTAAATCATTTTATTTGAACAGTAGATTTAATAAGTTAGAGGTGATAAGCATAATCAAACATTAACATTAAACCAAAAATTGAAAATCAATCTTTTCAACCTCATAGAATATTTACTAAAATTGATCATATTATAGGATACAAATTAAGATTCAATGAATTTCACAAAAGACCAAAAAAGGTATAAGGAAGAAAAGAATTAAGAATTGAAAAGAATGAAACAGAAAATGAAGCCAGGCATGGTGGTGCACGCCTGTAATCCCAGCACTTGGGAGGCTGAGGCAGGAAGATTATCATAAGTTTGAGGCCAATCTGGGCTACAGAGTGAGTTCAAAGTCAGCCTGAACTGTAAAGTGAGACTCTGTCTCAAAAAAACAAAATAAAAATGAGAAAATGAATGTATAAGGTGGGCGTAGTACTCTTTAATTCCAGTACTCTAGAAGGCTGAGGCAAAAGGACTGCAAGCTCGAGCCCAGTTTTGGTAACTCTGTAGGATCCTGTCTCAAAATAAAAAAATAAAAGGGCTTGCACTGTAGCTCAGTGCAAAGTCCCTGGGTTAAATTTCTAGTACCATAGAAAGGAAGAAAGGGAGGAAAGAAGAAAAAATGAATGTATAATAGATAAGATTGATAAAGCCAAACTTCATTCTTTAAAATAATAAAAGTGAAACATATTACACAAGATTGTTTAAAAATAAGGCAGCATACACATCATGAATAAAAAAGGGTATGTTTAAGTATAAATAAAACAGGAGTAAAAGCTAATAAGTAGATATTATGAACTCTACCAAAATGTTTAAATACTTAGACAAAATGAAAAAGTCCTAGAAAAATACAAAACTCCTTAAGATGAAATTGAGAAACTATATAATCCTATAACCATTAAAGAAGTTTTTATAAGTTTCCAAAGAAAACAACAGGTCTAGACAGCTTTACAGACAGATTCTATCAAATATTCAAGAGATCAAAGTTCTAGTCTTACAGAAGCTTCCAGAGAATATGAAAGGAAAGACACTCTCCAGTTGCTTCTAGCAAGGCTTTGATGCCAAAAAAAAAAAAAGAGGAAAATTATACATGTTCACTCATAAACACAAATACAAAAACTCTAACAGAAACAACAAATACAAAGAAGATACATCATGATAGAATCAAGTAAGCTTTATGTAATATTAGCAAATTAATATAATTCATTACATTAACACATAAGAAACTATCTCACATACGGAGTAAATGTTTAACCTAATCTATCTGATACTAATATATGAGTAACAAATGTTAGCAAACTAGAAACAGAAGGAAACTTTCTTTGATCAAGAGAATCTACAAAAATCCATAACATTATAATGATGAAACTTTGAAAGCATTTTAAGATCAGGAACAAGGGGCCGGAGATTTAGCTCAGTGGTTCTGCTGTCTGCCTCTTAAGCACAAGGACCCAAGTTTGATCCCGGTACCAAAAACAAACAAACAAAAAAGATCAGGAACAAAATAAGTATGCTCAATATCAACACTTCCACCCAGCACTGTATTTGAGATACTAGCCAGAATGACAGAGCAAGAAAAAAAAATGCAAAGCAATATGATTCCACTTTGGAGACTATAACTGCAAATCTATAATAAATTCCAAAGAACCACCATGTAAGTTAATGGTATAGCTTGGAAACATTGCTAGGTACAAAATCAAAATTTAAAAGTCACTTGCATTTCTATAGACCAGTAATTAATTAGAAAATATAACTTCAAAAATTACTTATGGTAACAAAGAAAAATAAAAGTCTCCTGGACTAAATCTACTAAGTTGTATAAAAGCTTGGTAGAGGGTGAAGGGAGGGCACAGACAAGAGGAAAAAATGAGAACCAAGACCTGTCATGTAAAGGTACAAGATCCCAATAATGAATGGAATTGTACTGTACACCTAAAATGTTCCAATAAACTCAATAAAAAAATACATGAAAAAAAAGCTTGGTTGAAGAGCTTATAAAAAGTCATTCAACAACACTTAAATGAAATATAAAATATATACATAGGGAAAAGAATTGCCAAATTGCTAATTCTGCTGCCATTCACTTCCAGAGTCAATAAACATCTAATCAAAATTCCAACAAAGTTTTTCTTCAAGCAAGTCAACCTGATTCTAAATTTATGTGAAAGAGAAAAGCCCAAAAATAGGCAAGGTTCTTTTGAAGAAAAAGAAGGACAAATGTCTCAACTTGTCCTAAAATAGGGCTGAAGCAAAATACACATGTGTGCTTAAAACTACACGTACATCCATCAACACCTGGTCTGTCATTTAGACGTCACATATCTAAAAGGATGTTGCTCTTACCAGTGCCGAGCGAGGTAATTAAAATTAAATTCAAACTGGCTCACCACGTCTCCTCCTGGGGTATGAGAACACATACATATGAAAGGTTAATGATAACACAGCGTGTTTCTTCCAAAACAAGTTCTCAAAAAAAAGATTATTCACTCTTCATCGTTGCTTGTTTCTGTTGTTTTAAACACGCATGTCTTTAAGAAAAAGGAATCTTTTAAAAATGCTAGCTAACAAGGTATATGAATTAAGAAGTTATCTAAAGAACTCTTTTATATCATGGAAAAACAGACCATAGGGGTTCTTTTAAATAAATACCATTCACCACCTAACTTGTGTTTTAAAAAGAATTTAGTGTAGAGAAAAAATAGTTTTTCAATTTAAACCTAAAGAGATTAGGAGATCTAAAATGCACTAGTATTTTAACTAAATATAAGTTTCCCTAAAAGTATGATAGAAACCAATGACAAAATGTATTTTAAATAAATCAAAGCATATACAACTACTTAGAAACACATCTCTATATTGAATAGAAATATTCTAAATGAAATATAGTATTAAAATAGCTAGTTAAGCATATGCTACTGGCAAAATATAAAAATACAAATTTAAAGTATAGTAGTGATTTCATTTTAAGTGAACTATTGCAACCACAGGAGAAAACTTGGCAAAAATAAACAAACAGTACCGAAATCACCAGCTGAATGGGCATCAGAATAGGAGCCATGAAAATCAATCTGAGAAAGAAAAAGAAGAATCTGCTGTGTATTACAAACTAGAGCCCAAACCTTGGCTAAGACAGTTGCACTCCCACAATTTCGGCCGCTACAGAGATGGATACTCACAGCCCCCATGGTCCTGAGGAAGCCCTGTTCAATACCCAGGCTGTGCCAGCTCACATCTGCCACCATATGAGAGGTGATTCCAAACAAGAAGGCCACCAGCTTCTCGGTGTTCTGTAAGGAACAAATTGCAGTCCTGTGTGTTTGGGTTATTACCCTATGAAAAGCCTATGTATATAAAATGTCCATTATCAAGACTAAACAAAAAATTTGAGGCAGGTATGTTGTATCTTCTAGTCACCAAAACCTACATGGAACTTTAAAAAATGTTCTGTGATGTCTTAGAAGTGCTTTCAGATTACCATGGGAGCAAAATGACCAAGTGACATGCCCCAAACTTGTTTTTTCTCACAACTTTTTCAAGTATCAATTATGTATCTACTGTGTCCCAAGTCCTGTGTTTGGCACTGATGGTACAATGGCAAGTAGCTGTCACAGAGCCAGGGCACAGGGTTCCAGTGGGGTAAGTGCAAGTGCAAAGACCTCGGAGGTATGGGGTGCAGGGTTTTAGGATGGAGGGAGCACCTACCTTCTCCCAGGGAAGGGGAAAGTTCTCCCGGATGTAATGGACACTTGCATTGAGGAACGGGGTCCAGTGTGTACTCTCAGACACATCATGGAATTTTCCTGATGAAACAAAAGTGGGCTCTGGGTTCCCCAAAATCAGAGTCGCCAAACCTCCTACTGCCAGCATTGCTGTGGTGTCCCTTCCCCTAGCTCCTTCCAACACCCCCACCACCACCGTTTTCTTCCATTGCTGTTAAAGGATGCTTCCTGGAGCAGAACAGTGGCTGTCACCTTAAGACTGGCAGGGGCCCATCCCTGTGGCAGCCCTCCAGGAGGCCCAGGCCAGCCTGAGCTGCTCCCAGTACCTCGCCTGAACTGGCTACAAAGGAAGGCTCCACCTCCATGCCCGAAGAGGGCCTAATTTAATTGGCCTCCTCTGTGAGCACAAAGGAGAATGGCTGCATTCAAGGGTGACTGGATATTAGGGAAAAGCTAACACAGTTGAAGTTAAGCTGTTTGCCAGAGAATGTACCAATGGATGCTAGAAACCAGATGAATCTTGTGTTACTTTGATTGCTTGTGTCCGTGTTTGGGTGAATAAAAGCAAGAAAGGCCAGGGACCTCAGCTGACGCCCTGTCTGTTATTCATCCTCCTTCGCCCCATGGTCAGGGAGAATCAAGCTAGGGGTCTAGGTCCCTGAGCAACAGGTGGTGCCCCAGCAAGGGGCTGGGACCGGAGTAACCTACAATTGGCGCCCAACAGGGACCTGATACCAAAGCCGCCTACAGGGGCCTAAAGCTCAGGAGACAAGTTTGGGTTGCTTCATTTATTTGTTGAGGAATTTTAAATGTTTTCTTTATCTCTCACAGTCATTCTCCCCAAAAAGCACAAAAGGCAAACTTTCCACCGGTTTTCAAGCACTTTAAAATAATCATTTTTAAATGGCATAAGCTCAAGGGGTTCACACAAGCATCACTGGAGTGGGTACACCATAAAGCATTTCATTAGTCCAGAAGGGTAAAAAAGACAAGGACGTCACCCATTCTCAATCTCCAAGTGCCACAGATTCTTTATGGGCTTCCAGTGTCACAGGACAAATGGAAAGGAAGCAACATGCAGGAGCTCAGACCCCGCCATTCACACAGTTTTGTGCCATAGCCAAAGTAAAAACTGCCTGCACACCAGCATAAGTTATCAGTTTTTGTGAAAGTTCTTTCCAATGAAGTTGGAACTAAAATATTTGACTTGGTCCAGCAGTTTTTGGTAGAGAGAACTTTAAACAATTCCTACTCTGTAGAATATAGTAAAAGTCTAGAATGGAGTATCAGTAGCTCTTTGGCCCAACCTCCACTGAATGGAATCACCAGATTAACTACAGTGGTCCCTCCCTAAATCATACAGCCCAGAAGCCAAAGTGGCCCCAGGGCATGCTGGACGCTGACCCCAGCCAGTCACTGTCCAGAGGGTAAGGATCCCCTGTCCACACCATCGCACGAAACTCACCAGGGATCCCTCAGGTCCGTGCTAACCCCGGTAAGACCAGTTACACCTCTATCGCCCAATGTTGAATTAAATTATGGCAAACATGAAATATCTGTATAACGAAGAGGATTGTTTTGGGCAATTAAGTATCTAAGAATGCTAAGTACTTTCAAACAATTCAATAAATGTGAATCATCCAAAAAGAAAGACAGAAAAAGAAAGCAACAAAAAGAGCTGGGAGTGGTAGAGCATTCTGTAATGGCTCGGCTTAGGAGGCTGAGGCAGGATGATTGCCATGAGGTCAACCTGGGCTACATAGTGAGTTCAATGCCAGCCTGGACTACATAGAGACCCTGTGTCAAAACAAATAAACAAAAAAACTACTGTTGAATTAGACGCGTATGAAGACAAACTCAAAGTTTAGGAAAATCCCTACAAATCTATATTTAAATTCTTTTAATTGTTATATATTTATAATTCCCTTTGAGTTATCATTCACACCCCAGTCTCAATCTTTATATAACAGTATATACTGCTTTATAAAAACATGGAAAATGCTAAATAGTTTACATTTTTTTCAGAATATTTGTCTTGTCTAGCTCTAAAAATGGCATGCACTAAATGTTTCTCAAATTTAACGAAAACGCCAAATTCTTCTTTCTTTTCTGCATAAGATATCAAAGGATTGTTAAAATACTAGGGACAGAAGGGCTCCCATGCACATGGTGTGGCTAATGCTAAATTAGAAATAGGTTAAACCAATAAAAGAATTTAAGGGGGGAAAAAAGAAATAGGTCAGAAAGGAGGAGAACTATGAGACATGGGCAAAATAACAGGATGAGAAAATAACAATCAGACACAGAGGGAAACAAGGGGGAAAAATTACAAATATGAGAAATCCAAAGCATGGGATTCTAACTGCAGGAGTAGCCCCTAAATACTTCAATGACCCCAAAAGACATCATTATATATATATATATATATTTTTTTTTTTTAATGAGATAAAGACAGCTAACCCTGAGACAGCAGATACGGCTTCCACAAGAACTGAGTGGCTTTCATTCATCTCTGCACAGCCTCTCCATTCTCTCCCACCTGCAGAGGGACTCTGAGATCACCTGCTGCAAGTGCCTTCATGGTCCCTTGGCTTTGGTTAAGCTGGGTTTGGCCAACACAGTGAACAAGAAGTCAGAGAACAGGGGAGTGAGGGTGAGGCTGGGAAGTCAGTGGGCTGGCTGCTTCCGCCAGGTGGCCTTCTTCATGAAGCTGTTTTGTCTGCAGGTGTAGAAATTGCTCCCTGCCCTGCCCTGTGCCTTGGGCTTCCTTACATCCAGTCCAGATCTGTGAAAATGAACGTCTTACTAAACACTCCTCCAGGATCTCACTTTGAATGTGACTACTGTGCCCCACCCCCACTGGGGCTTTAATTGACATAACCCATGAGCCCAGGTTATGGATGACACCACCTTAGATTTGCATGACACTTCTCAAATATTCTTCATGAAGGCCAACAATTCAGTCAACAGGCAGGGCCTGCATGGTCACTGCTATATCACGGGCGTGGAAAGAGATTCCGCATGTGACTTTTTCAAGGTCACATGCTGACAGGCAATATAGAAGGCACAGAAACTCAGACCCTTTGATTTCTTGCAAAATGTTTTCACCCTTCCACAAACCAGTAAAGCAAGTAAGGACGCTGAGAATAGGTCTCATCGAAAAATAAAATGTTCTGAATTACTGTGCTTAAATGGATAAGTCATTGACTACCAATAGTGGAAAACATACTGGGTTATTATATGCTTTCATAGTCACAGCCATTCTTATTAACCCAGTAAAAGTGACACCATGTGGTCTGCCATCTTTACCTGCAAATCTTACCTGATTTACAGAAGCTGGGGTAAAAAGCATCAGGAAATACGGCCCCAGCCTGATATGCATCTTGGTGTTCTAGTAACAGCTGGAAAGCCAGAAAACACAGATTAGTGGGCCAGAGGGGTCAAGCTGGGCAACATAGAACTCATCAGTTTCTAGCTATGAGATTTGGGACTGTCAAGGGAAGGGATAGGTGGAAAGAAAGGGAACAGGCAGGCAGGCACAGTAATTAAATGATGAAAACTATTGCAAAATTCAAGACAACACATTACAATGTATAACAGGTTCTTGCCTACCAAACATTGCCTAATTAGAAAGCAATAAAGATAACCTATTTAAATTTTATCTCCTGCCATTTTTTCTGTCTATCCAGCACAGCAGGATTTTCTTGAGCATATTATTGACCCAGAGCTGGTTTGTGATAAGATTTGCAAGGATCTACAATGAAATAAGATAAACAGACAGGTGCATACACACACATTCATAGCAGTTTGTAGCTGTTACCTCTAATTAGTCTGATGGTATCCTTTCTGCTTCTAAGTGGTTAGAAAGATACCCTTTCCCATTTGAAATTACCTGAAAAAGATGGTAAGGTTTTCTTTCCAGTGTTCTTCCTCGGGAGAATGGCTCCCTATGATGTGCCTTGGCAGCATGTGCCCAGACTGCCCGCCCTGAGTCTGATGGAGCAGAGCCTCCTGCATGGATCGAACTTGCCTGGGCTAATGTGGAAGCATGTGGCGCTTGAGCAACAAAGGTGGCAGAGGCGTGGTCGTACAGTGTTCATAGACAAAGTACAAGGCATCCAGTTTGCAAGAGGACTGTGGCTGCAGTGATGTAGTATCACAGCCAATTGTCAAGGAGGTGGTTTCTTAGTTTCCAAACCACCTATGAGTTCACTGAATCTGCAGCTAGCAAATGGGGAAGTGTCTGTTGCTGCCCATCAGCTAAGGGTTCTTTTGCTCAATTCAGATGGAAATTGCAAAGTGCAGCATGGCTAGTGGCTCTGCTCTCAGCTCTTAATATTACAGCTCTGGGGCTCTAAGTCACCCTAGCAGTCCCTCTGTAATCAAGGGTAACCCCTGCCAACCACATGGTTAATGGCCAGTAGACACTGCCGATCCCTGCTGCTAGTCTCTGGAGCTCATCGGGGCTGGCCTCACATTTGTATCTCTTTTTCAAAGCAATATGCTCCAGGATGAGAAGCCAGAGTACATTTCCAGGACCTTCTGAGTCCTCATTACCCAGATTTTCAGGACCACTGGTACAGGCTTTTTTTGAACCCAGCCTGTGCTGCAGCACAAAGAGGACAACACATCAGAAGGAGCTCTTCTAGATCAACGCAAGGAGTATGACAGGAATTGCTGCTTATATAGTAGCAGGGAACCTATGACTAGCCCAATAGTCAAGCTCGTGATTGGCTCAAATTTGAGCCTTGATTGGCCCAAATGCAATTCTCCTTCTCAGCTCCAATTCACACCTGCTGTGGTCAAGGCAGACATCATCCAGGGAAGGCATGGGGTGTTGGGATGTCCAGGATTGTCACAGCTGTCATGGCAGCAGTTCACAGGAATGTTGGGAGGTGCTGTTTAACTGATGGCTGTCACATCTCCATGAAAATGGTGTGGCCAAAGCTGAGGGAATTTTCAGGAGGGCTGGTTGTGTTTACCATAGCTTACTGGGGTGTGAGGAGTTGGGGATGAGATCCTCCCCGGATCTCTGCCACTTTATTAGGGAGGCAGCAGCCACAGGAGCAGGTAAAAGGGCTGCACTTCTTGTCAGAGCAGCCTGGAAAACAGACACCAAGAAACCTCAAGGGCGGCAGGAGGACACTGGGGCAAGTTGTCCCCATCCATACTCAGGAGGGGAGGGAGGGGAGTGACAGCTGTGCGATAAGTCGCGCCCCCTTCTGGTGTAAGGGGCTGTTTTTATTAATACAACATTTAATAAACAGGACATTTTTATTTTCCAACAAGGACAATAGTGTGGACTGTCCATAGAAGCAACAAAGAACTACCTTGAGAACATACACAAAGAAAAGGCAGAATCATCTATTTTTGTTTTGTTTTGCCCAGAGAAAAAGAATGATTCCCTCCTGAAGACACTGAATGCCATGCCAATCAGGAAAGCTGGGCCAAAAACAGGAAGAAGCCACCAGTACATTGACCCCTCACATGTTAGGCTCTGAGAGGGACATGTGTCAGGAGACCTCACCACTGCTGCTGTGGAAGTTGCTGTCTCCCACCAGGCTCTGAGGCCAAGCCCTCCCTGTGGAAGGAGACAGAACACCATCAAGACCACTAGGCCTTTCTCTACTTGGGGGCATCAGTCACACAAATCGATAAAGTTGATCAAATCTCTTTCAAAACATAGCCTGAGTTGGACCTTTGTCACTTAAAAACAATAATTAACTTTATGAATATTTACCTTACCAGCCAGTGTTCAAAGGACTTTCTTAAGACTGGTTGGATCTACATCAACCAGTGAGGTAAACACATTATGTAACGTGACAAAATAATTCTAAAATAAATTTTTAAAAATAAACCTGCTAAAGAGTCAGGAAACTGCTAGAGAAAACAAAAAGGAGGAGCTCTGAGTGAGGAGGTATCTTTCACATATGAAAATATATTTTCATGCTACAGAAATAAAATAGTAATGATACTGGGACCAAAAGAACCTACGGGACTGGGGTGCAGCTCAGTGGGAGAACACTTGCCCAACAGGCACCAGGCCCTGGGTTACATCTCCAGCACTCCATCCCCTAAAAGAATGGAGCCACAAAGCAGAAGAAAAGACTACAGGATCATTCCCTCCTGAACTCAAGCCAAGAGTGCGAATAACAATTTTTGATAGGATGAATAAAGGAGGGGGTAATCGACAACTGGGTTTGTCACACCCTAGAACAGCAAAAGTGTACTTTCTTTACACTGGTGAATCTGTGTGTTGTGTAGGTGACACTGAGTAGAAATTAACATTATCAATAACAGGTCACTGGATCCCCATCATGCTTTATGCCAAAATAAATACAAGGCAAACTAGAAAGGTAAGTATCAAAAATGGAGTCAAGAAATTAACAGGTCAAGATTTAAGGTAATAATCCGAGTGAGAATGATTTTTCGAAGCATAATGCACAGGTAGAAATTATAAAAGAAAAGGTTGATGCAATTTACAACACAAAAATTTAAGAGTTTTATGACTATATCTCTTAGCAGAGTACTTACTAATTAATTGAAAGGCAGAAAAGTATTATTAACTTTCCAATATAAAAATTTGGCAGACACAGCCTCAACCCAGAGATAAAAAATTAATACAGTATCTCCAGTACTTCTGCTTTCAGAAACCTGGAATAGGTATACTTTTCCTTACTATTCCTGCTAAATATGACTAAAAACCCTGGACATTATAAATAAACATATGATGACTCTGAAAAGTGAAGCTGAGCATAACTTCTCCAGATTCTCTTTTTGCCTCAAATATCTCAAACTACATACTGGAAAATTACACATGTGCATATGTACACATGCATGCAGACACACACATACACCAATAAAAGCCTATTCTTTATAGGTATAGGCAGGGGAAGGACAGGCTAACAAGACAAAACTTTGAACAATAACCTCTGACCGAGCTGGGAGAAGTGGTGCACTCCTGGTAATGCCAGCACTCAAGGCTGAGACAGGAGGATTGCAAATTCAAACTCAGTCTGGGAAACTTAGCCACCTAGCAAGGCCTGTCTCGGCAGGAAGGCAGGAGGAAGGCAGAAAGAAGGCAGGCAGGAAGAAGATAGGAAGGAGGTGCTAGGGATATATCTCAGTGTAAAAGCTCCAAGAACTAGAGAGATCTAAGAAAGAAAGAAAGAAAGAAAAAAAAAAAAACAGACTCAATAGATGCCAACACTGAGCTGACCAAGATGTCACAGTTATCTGACAAATATTTTAAAACAGCCAAAAATGTTTCGGTGATCAACTCCAAGTACCCCTGAACAAACAAACAGTGAGTCTCAGCAAAGAAAAAGATACAAAGCAAAACTAAATGGAAATTTTGGAACTAAAAAACACTATAACTAAGATAAAAATTAACATCACTGGAAACTCACATTGCCCCCTTCTGACAATGCAGGGAGAAGGTGGCAGCAGCACGTCAATGTTCCAGGGGGTTCCTGCCCAAATTCATCACCTGCAGAGGAATCTAATCTCAAGGCACCATCAGACACAACCATGTCAAGGTACACTACTCTGAGTGACTCAATTAAACCTTCAAAAACTTCAAGGTCATAAAGGCATCATATTACAGTGCTCCATGCACGCTCATGTTTATAGCAGCATGATCCATAATTGTTATGTCTTGGGGCTCCTACATGTTCATCAACAGATGAAAGGATAAAGATGTGCTATTTACACACAATGGAGAACTCCTTTGCCACATGGAATGATAAGCTTGAGGCGTCTGTAGGAAAATGGGTGCACCTTGAGACCATAACGCTAAGTGAAATAAATCAGATACACAAGGCTGCCTGGCTTCTCTTATATGAGAAACCCAAATTATAAATAACAAGTGAAATGAGATAGTAAAGGAGTAGGGAGATAGATCTTTCTCAAACGGGAAGGAGATCAAGAGATGGAGGGAGGAGGAGGGAAAGGGGATTTAAACAATTAAGATATGTTGTGTATGTGCACCAACTCACACAAGGAATGCAAACATTATGAAAGCAGACAGTAAGCCCAAGGAACAGTCCTAGACTGGAGGAAAGTAAAGGGAACTGACAACGAAATACAACACTTGGACTTAGACTTGATCTTGGATTTATGTTGAACTTGGAAAGGACCTTGGAAAAATTGATGAAATGTGAAAGATAGAATTGAATGAGTGGTATTTCAGTGTTGACTTCCCTGATTATGATCAGTGCAGTGTAGTTTTTAGAAAAGCATCTTTGTTTTAGGAAACAGGCAATGAAGTGTTAAAAGATAAATAAGAACCATATCCACAACTAACTCCAAGCAATTCAGGAAGAAACAATGTGTGTAAACTGACAAACAGGATGGAAAGGCCAGGAAGGTAAGCTGTGAACCCCTGGAGAAATGAGGAGAGGGTATAAGGTAATTATTTACACACCACATTCAATTACCATTCTTGCCACTTTCTGAAGCAATTCCAGAAGTTCCTTTCATGTCCTTACAAGGTGGGACCCAAAATTTTCAATGAATGCTATTGCAGAATGCCATCCAATAGAAAGGCAGGCTTGTGAGAACATTACCATGTGTCCTCATTCACCTTATTCGCTGGATTAGGTGCCAGGTGACTTCTGGTTCTTCTACAAAGTCAAAAATGATAATGAAAGGTAAACATTTTCAATCAATTCAGGACACCAAGGCAGCCATGACAGCACAACTAAAGATAACCACAAAAGAAGACTTCCAGAACTGCTTCAGAAAGTGGCAAAAATAATGGGAGAAGAGTGTTCAGAAGGGTAATTTGAAGGGGATTGGTGGGAATGTGTCTTTTAGTGTAATAAAGTTTTAATATGAACGTTCACCATATTTTTCCATCACACCGTGTAAACCTTTTAACCATAATACTAGTTTTACAAAGACACAAAAATGACTTAAAATTAGTTTAAATGTTCATTAGGACCCTTGTATGGCACCTACTGAGGAGAGCTAATGTAGAAGGGATGTAAGGAAAGTCAAGGGCTCACCTCTTTGTAGTTAACACGCCCATGTGGGAGCTGCAGAAACTCCAGAGCTCTGTGTCCTGAAGGAAATGAATATAGTACACATGTCAACTATAATTACTACATAATATCTTAAAAGGCAAAGATATAACTTTGCAATTGTAAAGAGTCAAAGAAGCAGGACATGAAATTTAAGCATGTACTTAATTGTGATTTTCTTTAGGCATAGTCACATATTATTAGAATACAAATGAAATTTTTGTGGTCATGTAACTAGGACTACGGCCTTGGGTAAGTCACTTCCCCTCTCTAGGCCTCAATTTCCTATATGAAATTCAGTCAACAGCCCCCACTTGTCACATTTGTTGAGAGCTACAGACTAGAATTGCTAAGAGGCAAGAACGTTAAGGTGACACACAGGAACTCAAGAAGCAAACTGCCATCATCCTGTCTGCCTCCAGACTGAGGTAGAGAATAGGAAATATGACCGAAAGCCTAAAATGTTGTCTAATCACTGGTCCCCAAGACTGTTCTCACATGGAGTGACAAATCATCTCAGAAGGCCACCTTCTCCACTCAAACAGACTCACAGCCTGAACCTCCTCAGAAGCAACAGGACTAGCATTCCTGTAAAGAGACCTTCAAAGGTGACACCCTACTCTACTGTGAACCATTTCCATTTTTAAAATTCATAATATATATGTTGTCTAATCACTGGTCCCCAAGACTGTTCTCACATGGAGTGACAAATCATCTCAGAAGGCCACCTTCTCCACTCAAACAGACTCACAGCCTGAACCTCCTCAGAAGCAACAGGACTAGCATTCCTGTAAAGAGACCTTCAAAGGTGACACCCTACTCTACTGTGAACCATTTCCATTTTTAAAATTCATAATATATATAAATCCATTCTTTGGGTTCCAGTGATTTACAGACCTAAAACGCCGAATGAGATCAGTTCAAGTTAACCAATGCATACAAAGATCAACCTTTCACAAGCATGATGGTGCTTGCCTGTAATTCCTGCTACTTGGGAGGCTGAAGTAGGAAAACAACAAGTTCAAGACCAACCTGGGCAACTTAACAAGACCCTAACTCAAAATAAAAGCATAAAAAGCTGGAGATGTAGCTCAGTGGTAGCGTGTTCCTGGGTTCAGTATCCAGTACCACACATACACAGGGGAAAAAAATGAACCTAGAATTTATATCATCTAAATTATTAGTAAACAAATGCTAGAGTTTTACTCTCTTGCATGAAATTTCTCTCAATCTGTAGATTCTGTTTTAGGATTTGCCTTTAATTATGTTCACATGTATCTTTAGATGTAGATAGCCTTAAATATCCATTAGAATGCTTGTTTGGTAGCTACTGAAGAAAGGTACTTCTCACAGATTTTTAAACTCTTATAATCACTAGAAAGTTGAGGTTGGGCATGGTGACACACGCCTGTAATCCCAGCACTCTGTGAGGCTGAGGGAGGAGCATAAATTTGAGCCCAGCCTGGACAATTCAGACTTACCAAGAGTCTGTCTCTAGGTACGCTAGGGATATAGCCCAGCGTAAGGTCTCTAGGTATTCTAGGAATATAGCACAGTGTAAGATACATGAATAGCTAAAATAAATAAATTGTAAAAAGTTGGGTATTCCTATTCACATTTGTTCCTCTTTAGCATACTTCTATGTTTTCAGCCATTTCAACTACACAGAGCTTAGAGCTGGAAGAAACTTCAGAAATCATTAAGAAGCTTCACCTTTATAGTGGAGTTGGGATAGAACCTAGCTTAGAGTTTCTTTCCCATGGTTTCCTGGCTCCCTTTCAGCAACAACTGTTTAAGGGAAAGAACACTGGACTCTTATGAGGGTGTGTGATTCTAGGCCAGGCTGCTAATAGCTCAGCTGTGAAACTCTCTAGGATGTTCTTTAATCTGTAAAATAAATGGACACAGTGACCTCTAGTATCCATTCATATTATAAAATTCTCTGATCATAGGCTCCTGCCTACCATATATTTTGCACTATGTTTTCATGTTTTATTTGCAGTCTTGTTCTTTGTAACTCCTGGAGACAGTATAACTATAAAATACTACTACTTTTATTTTAAAACATCAGGTATATCTTAATGAATCTAAAATTGTTGCATCCTGTAATATATTATGAATTGCCTTACATTTTCATGTAAAAAATCACAAATTATAATTTATTCAAGAATCAAATCCTGGGCCAGGGATTTAGCTCAGCGGTTCAGTGGCCTGCCTTGTAAGCGCAAGGACCCGAATTCAATACCCGGTACCCCAAAAAAAAAAAAAAAAAAAAAAATCAAATCCTTTTATCTTCATTGTTCTGCCTACACATGCTAGCAATGGCAAGTATGTGAGGTGTTGGATATTTTAATTAGCTTGACTGTGGTAAGCATTTCACAATATACAAGTGTGTGTGTGCACAATTATATGAGATACTACATTCGTATGGTGGCCAGCGCTTATACTCCCAGCTGGAAGGGAGACTAAGGCAGGAAGAGTGCAAGTTTGCGTCCAGCCTAGACAATTTAGCAAGACCCTACCTCAAATAAAAAATGCCGGGATACAGCTAGGCACTTTCTGGGTTCAATCCCCTGGATGGATGGATGGATGGATGGATGGATGGGAGAAGGAAGCAAAGGACAGACACGTTATGTTGTACACCTTAAATTTATTCATTTTTGTCGCTTACACCTCAATAAAACTGGATAAAATTTTAAAGACTACAGTGTTTGTGCTGCCACCTACCTATATTTAAGCAACTATCTTTGCCCTGAGGTCGGTGACACCTCTTGTGGAGCCCCCTCCTGCGCAAATCCTGCCATCGTTCTGCCTTTGAAGCCAACCAACATTCACCCTCCCTGGCTTCCTTGACTTTCCTGAAGCTGAGCACCTTTAAAAACACCAGACTCACATGACCCACTCCCCTGGTACTCAGAAACGCCTTTCCTTGGAACTGTAAAACACAAATTAATTCCTCCCACCTCCTCTCCCGTGCTTCCCGGCAGCCTCCCCTCTACTGAGCTCCTCGCCATTTCCTACCCAGAGCGGCACCCAGCACGCCCACGGCCAAGGACACATCCACTGCCCCGCTCTCCTCTCCCCAGCCCTGATGACCCCACCCCCGGCTTCTTCTTTCCACTCTCAGGCTGCTCAGCCCAGCAGGAGAAACTGCAGCAATACAAGGGACAGATTTTTCAATCTCTTACCGTCTCTTGACAGATTTCTTGTCCTTCGAATAACACAAGACCCCAGGACTCACCTATTTCTACGTGTGTCGAAAGGCCGCACGGGGAACTTGGAGGGCAGAGAAAAGCCAAGAGAAGCAGCAGGCCAGACCGCAGCCAGAAGGCCGACATGCTGTCATCCCCCGTGGGCTTCTCTGGCGACGGGGGGCCTTCCGAGCTGTGACGGCGCTGTGACTCCAGGATCCAGGCACAGACCAGGGCTTTCCCTTTGTGCGGGTCACTGCTGGGAAACCAAGCCTCATTTCAAAATAATTCTGCTTCCCAATAAAGTCAACCGCTTAACTACTGTTTAGCTTCAGGAGAACAGCAAACACACTCTGCCGGCTTGGGAGGAGGGCAGAAGCCAGCCGATGAATCTGAAGGCTTCTAGCTGCGAACCCTGCATCTTCTGACCCAGCCATTCCAGGCTTCATTTAAACATGAGATTGGTATGGAGGTGTAAGCAGGGCTGTCCCCAGATATTTTTTGCTTTCTACAACAAAAGGCTCACCTGTGGCTTTGGTCGATCACTCTATCAGACTGCCTCGCTCACTGGGGCAACAGCTCCTGCATCCTTTCAGCCCGCTGATCAGATCGCCCTGCTTCCTCCGGGAGGCCAAGAGAGTGCTGGGAAAGCTTTTATGGTGATCAGCTGGAGCCGGCTTCTCGTTCAGTATTTGGCAACAGATACCAACACCTGTGAGATTACACAAGTGTAACCATTCCTGGTCTTCCACCACGGGTGCTTCTAATAGGGCTGACTGTGAGTCTGTTGCCAGGTCAGATTCCTGGAGCCCAATCACAGGTTCCCATTCCGCTTGGGAGGTGGAGGGGAGGGGACAGAACTGGGCTAGGAAACTCTAGTTTCTTTTCGAAAAGCCTAGGCTCAGAATATACCTGTTACGAGTATCCAAGCAACAGCACTAAATCCATGGGGGGAAATTTAGGTCAAACTTTTCATAGAAATGATGCTGATCTTAAAGTTCAAATTATGTATGTTATACATTAAAAGCAAAAGAAGAGCTCCTAAAAGAGTGAAGGAAATGGTATCTGTTCTCAGGCTACTACAGTACTAGGGATGTGCACTCTCAGCCATGGGCAAAGTCTCAGAAAATGAACAGTGGGAGCACTATTGCTTCTAACTACTTAGGCCAGAGGCCATAAACTTCCATCTTATTTAACAGGGAATTACAAATTTAGATCAACTTTTCCTAAGATAAGAAAATTCACATAGAAGTGTAGATTTCAAGACCTAAAAACCAAACCAAGAGAACTTGTCTCCTGAACTGACACCACGGGACTCAACAATCCACTGGAGTCAAAGAGTCAGCAGGCTCCTTCGCAGGGCTCCCTGTCTTTCTGTCCTGCTGTGTGCAAGATATGTGTTAATTTCTGTGCTTTTGTGGCCACCAGAGGCCTTTGGGTCTGCCTCCTTCTCACTCTGTGTCTCAAAACACCTGAGGGTGAGCTGGTGACATTTACAAGTGGGGGCTTTGGTGAAGGCAGCAATACAAGGGCAGCCAATCCATGGTAATGGGAAAGACCTTCGAAGTCACCCAGGAGCAAAACAAGGCTGCCTGGGAGGATTCTCAACAGCAATAACCAAACCATTCAGAAAGCAAGAGAGAGAGAGAGAGAGAGGTTCAGTTACTATACAATATTAACCCCCGATTTCTCAGTATGTATTTTTGTGTTTAAAGCTCAGAACAACTTAGTTTACAAATGTAATAGAATAGGAGGGAATTATTCACTTAGTATAGTGTGATGGAGACAAATCTGGGCTGTATGTGACAGTACTGTTTGAACTCTTATGAAGTTTATATTACTTTTATAGTTATGAAAACACCAAAGCTATGACTAAGAGAAAGCTGAAATATAACTTGCAGCATTAAGGAAACTACCTCACAAACAATAAGTATGTGGAAATAGTTTTCTTTCTATTCCACAGTCCCTTTTCTAATCCAGGTGGCTTTGTTATAAATGAAAGCTTGATTCTATTATTTAGGGATCTTTTGCAACACAGCACAAGTTGAAAACCAAATACAGATGTTAGGAGTGTGCATGTGTGTGTCTGCCTCCTCGCCCTGTGTGTGGATCCCTATTCTGTTACCTTCTTTCTACCCGAGTGACCTTATGCAGGGCATTAGAAATCTCAGATGGGTGAGTTTGAGACCAACCTGAACTATACAGTGAGACTCTGTCAAGAGCCATTCTACATAAATTATGGGAGAAAATCATTTAGTAATTAAAGTATGATTATAGCTGTCTAAGTCACCAGTGTCACCTTGCCTGAGAGCCAGTCACGCCATGAAGAAACACAACTCCATTTTGCCTCTGGTCACAAGTTGAGGCCTTAATGGTCCCGTGATGCTGTGACACTTAAGGGCAAGAGTACATCAGCTGAAGACATCCCGGTTCTGCAAGAACCAGGTAGTAATAAAAAAGAGAAAGCTGTCACCTCAGTTGGGAAGGACAAATTCTTTATTAGCCTGCTATCTCATCCCACTTACTATTATAAGAATGCTCTCCTTACTCCCTTTATCAACATAAAGTCCTCAGCGACTTAAGATCCTCATCAGCACAGGATTACCACCACCAAGTCCTCTGATACTCCTTCCAATTATTGTGTGTACACAATAAATAGTGGGCAGCTCAGAGTATCTCTTTCTCTGCCTACCCTGAGGCACCTCCTGGCCCCCTTTCTAGGCAGTCGGAGGACTGATGGGCCTCTAATAAGACCGTCTCAAAAAACATTAAATTAAATTAAAATTAAAAAATAAAAATCTCAGCCAGGTGTTATGGCACACTCCTGTAATCCCAGCACTTGGGAAGCTGAGGCAGGAGGATCGCTGTGAGTTCAAGACCAGCCTGGATTACATAGTGAGTTTCAGGTCAGTCTCAACTACATAGTGAGATGCTGTCTCAAAAAATCAATCAATCAATCAATACAAATCTCTATGCCTCAATTTCCTTATCTATAAAATGGAAATAACAGTACCTGCTGAGAAAATACATGTAAAGTGTTTAGAATAGGGCCAGACATGCCATAATTATTCAATATATGTTGATCCTGATCGTTCACAAGAAAATTTCCTGTCTAAAAGATTCACCACTGATTTCTATTAAGTACCTATCTTCCTTGCTTCCTTGTTGGTGTTTTGTTTTGTCTTTTTTTGTACTGGGGATTGAACTCCAGTCCTTGTGCTTGAGAGGCATGTGGCAAAACCACTGAGCTAAATCCCTGGCCCTGTCCTGTTTTTTGTTTGTTTTGGTGCTGCTACAGATAGAACCCTGGGCCTCATCCATGCTAAACAAAGTACTTTATCGCTGAGCTATGCCTCCAGCCGATTTGTTGATTTGTCTCAATAAGTTAAAATTATTTCGCCCACTGATATTCAGCACAATGTCTTTTATAACAATTTAGATATGGGTGTAAAGAAAAATGGATGAGACTCTGAAGTGAAGGTAGGTCTCCTTGTGTGGGTAGATAAGATGTAATATTAATGTCCAAAATTTTGAGAAAAGCAAGCAATTCCAGCTCACTTCTGCTCAGTTCCAATACACCTCTGTCATCACAGGGCCATTACAGCAAGTAGGGAAGAAGATGGATAAAGGGAGGGGAGATGCCCAGGACAAGGGTAGCTAAGGAGAACAGAAGGAAAAGGTCCCTGTTGCCCAGTGGTCCTGTCCTATAGGCCCAGTGAGCACACACAGCCAGGCCGGGGATGGGAACAGTGCATCAAGATCCCCTAGAATTAAGACAGGAGTTAGGAGGGAACTGTTCCCACCCTACATGGGCACTTGGAGTGGTCACAAAACAATGGCCAATGTGGGCCTGGAATTTAACTCAGTGGTGCCACTACCTACCTTGCAAGTGCAAGGTCCCAAGTATGATGCCCGGTACCAAACAAATAAACAATGAGCAAGAAGAGGACCTCTTCTAGGCTGTAAGCACTTTTGCTCTGTGAGGACTCTTCTTTCACCAAATTTTATGTTTATGTTGGTATAGAGATTAATATGTTAATATTCTACCTAAGTTTTTTTCTCCTAATTTTAAAAGAAATTCAATATTTGTTGTACCCTAAAACGCATTTGGGGCCCTAGTATACCTACTGACTGTGCTGGATGGAAAAAGAGAGTGGACACTATTTGAAGTAGATCCTTAAAGTCATAATTAGACTAATCTTAGAACAAGAGATTCACAATTGACTGCTTTTCTGGGCCTCAGTTGACCAAGGCCTCAGAATGCTCTCAGCCAGCCCAAGCAGAAATTAATTGTGGGTAGCGCGCCCTCTACAGGTAGTAGGTCTTAACGCGCCAGCTCTCTAGTCCTGTTTGACAGCTCCGGGGGAACTGGATCAGAACTCCCTCCCGGAATTCCTTCAAGAAAATACAGAGCGACTGTTGAACGCTCACCCGCAAGATTAAAGTCCGCCATTCACCACTGTTGCCATTTACGACTGGCACAAAACTAAGGACAGATGACTCAGCAGAAGTCAACAGTTTAAGGACAGCCTTGGCGTTATGCACAAGAATTTAGCATCCTAGGGCTGGAGATTTAGCCCAGTGGTTTCGCTGCCTGCTTTGTAAGCGCAAGGTCCCTAGTTCGATCCACGGTAAAAAAAAAAAGAAAAAGAAAGAAAAAGAAAAATTAGCATCTTAGAAAAGAGGTGGAAAGCCCACAGGCTCTGGAACAGTCAGCAAGATGAACCCAGCCCCCTGGTAATCAGGCAGCAGAGAAGAGTCGAGACTGGAGACCTTCAATCACTCTAAGGACAGAATGAAGGTTTTTGCAAGTTTTGCATGAATGAAGAATGGCATCCACGTGACCACGATATGCTCAACCATAACTCCTTTGATTCCACTCTGACATATGATTCTATTTACTAGTTGGTGGGCAGCAGGCACTAGTTGAACACTGTACTGAGCTTAACATAGCAACTGGGCTAAATGTCTTCTCCTAACAATGAGTGGGCATTGTTCCATTCCACAAATGAGAAGCCTGACATTATAAGGCGTGATCAACACGTGCAGTGAATGTTTTTAAAAATTTTTAATGTATTACAGAAAAATAAATTATTACAGTAAAAGACACTGCCATTAATCTCACCCTAGTTACTCCCCTGCTTCAAGGTGCTCCTACTCTTCTTGCTACTTTTTGAAGCGGTTCTGGGAGTCCTCTCTGCAAGTGAGATTTTTTTAAAAAGTGAGTGTGCTTTCCAGGTGTGATTAAAAATTATGGTGGATGCAGCTGCTAAGCGCTACCCAGCAGAAAGGCAGGCTTGTAAAAACATGACAGTGCCCTCATGCACCTTGTTCACCCGATCCGGCAGTGTGCAATTTCTGGCTCTTCCCCAAAGTCAAAATGACCATGATAAGTAAATGTTTTTAATTGGCTCAAGACATATAGACAGTCACAACGGTGCAACTAAAGACACTAATGAAAGAGGACTTCCTGAACTGCTTCAGAAAGTGACAAGATGGATGGGATAAGTGTGTTCAAAGACAGGGGAAGAATTCATGGGATTGAGAGGGATTAACGGCAGTGTATTTTATACTGTAATCCGTCTTTTTAAAGTGAAGATTCACCGTATTTTTTGACCACACCAGATAAGTAACTTGCCTGAGGTCACACACCTTGTTAGCAAGAGATTCTAAGTTCGGACCCCAGCCTGTCTCCAAAGGTGGTACAGTGGACCCTTACAGCCACACTTTGAAAGGCATGCATGCAGCGGAGCGCGGAGCCCCACATCG